TGGAAATAAAAGTGCTGAAAACAAATTGGCTCCCAATGTGAAAAGATTGAGAACAAGCTATGAAGGAACAATAATGGTGTTTTGGTGCAGGTACAGCCAACTAGCGCTAAAATATTGCGATATTGTCAATACAGTATATCGTAAAGTATCACTATGTAACTCGATTTCTTTCACCCCAATCCCTCAAATTAACGGTAAATAACTGAATTGTTTGCCCCACATTTAGCTAAGATGATTAGCTAGCCAGCTAAAATGTTTTATTTAGTTAGCGGTCGCATCTACAATAGTTTACTGTCAATAACATGTCTCCAAAAATGACGTGGTGTCTCCAATTGTGTTGACATTTTACAATTGCGATGCGCATCCATGAGTATCCACTTTCTGTAGCTCAGCTGGTAGAGCACGGCGCTTGTAACGCCAAGGTAGTGGGTTCGATCCCCGGGACCACCCATACACAAAAATGTATGCACGCATGACTGTAAGTCGCTTTGGATAAAAGCGTCTGCTAAATGGCATATTATTATTATTATTATTATTATCTGAAGAGAGCCCCGAAACATTGTGTGCACTGTGCAGACATTTTATGCAATAAATGAAGTAGGTTGAATCTAGTAGTTCTGATCTTCTGATTGGTCCTGATGAGTTGGGCGAGGTCCCCTCCAGGCTACTGTCACTGTTGCATTGGCTCTGAGTCGGGTTCTCTGTCTTCAAATGTTCAGCCTAAGAGAGGGGATTTTTGTGTGTGTGTGTGTGTGTGTTTAACAGTGATGATGTGTGTGTGTGTGTGTGTGTGTGTGTGTGTGTGTTTAACAGTGATGATGTGTGTGTGTGTGTGTTTGTGTGTGTGTGTGTGTGTGTCCTCAGAGCAAGAACTCGTGAGTTGGAAGAACTGAGAGGCCTATGGCGTGGGTGTTGTCCTTGGCCACCTGCTGACAAGGCTGACAAGATAGGACCCTTTTGTCCATTGTTATTGGATAGGAACAGAACTTATAACCAGCTCCTGACCTAAATAGATCTTAGCACAACATTTTACTCAACATATCATATTCCATATTCACTATAACAAATATATTTACTACGACATTAGCAAGAACCGCCACATCCTCAGCCGGCTAATCCAGTGTGTGAAGTTTTGCGGAGTGTTTGAGTTAGCTTTGCGAGGCAAAGATGAAACTGAGGGCTCCACCAACCCTGGTAAGCCAACACTTTTGAGATCAGTCAATAAATGCTTCTGGTATTGACTTATATGCTGCCCCTGTCTTCATGTTGTTGCTGGACATATCTTTTTTAAAATGTGTGTAGGTCACCTAAATCATCAGAAAAATTGCCCCCCCTGAGAATTTTTTCAGGAGCCGCCACTGCTTGGCACTGAAAATTGCACCCAAAAGGTTATTCCAAGAACCCCATAGGAGGTGGGGTTCATCGAGGAACCTCCTTGGTTAGTGGGGGTTCTTGAAGGAACCTAACTGCGCAACTGAAACATTTGGATTTGAATTTGAAAGGACAGTAGGTGCAGGCACTTAACTGAAAAATGTAAACATCTTCTCAATTTAAGGTAAGGTTTGTCCCTTGTATGATCTAAATTTATATTATTTTCTGATGACACTATCATATTTGTGAAAATCTTTCTAAAACAGAAAATGTATGCACTCACTAACTGTATGTCGCTCTGGATAAGAGCGTCTGCTAAATGACTAAAATGTAAATGTAAGAACCCCTAAAGGATCCTCCAGGAACCTTTACTTTTTAGAGTCTAGTTGCATTCCCCAATTGCTGATCTGCTATCTCTGCCAATGGTTGTTATGGTTCTGTTAAGTACAGCATGTACTCACACGAGATTGGTATTGGCACTGGTATGTATCATCTAACATGAACATGGAATAAAAAAAACACTAAGCTAACAAGCATAAAGAGTTCTCATGAACAAATGTTTTGAAAATATTCTTTATCCATTACCCAATGAGTACAGAACAGCAAATATCTTTGGCGATACATTACACGTACAATACCTCATCTGAATTTAAATACAAAGCAGTAAACCAGGTTTCCATCCATAACAAATGTCATGACATGCCTGATGGAAACAGAACGGTAAGCTTTCCAAATGTCGACCAAACAAAATACGCTAGGTGGGATCTTTTTGTGTCTATAAAATGAATTATCCGAGAAATGTCGGTGGAAATGCGCTTATGGGCAAATATTGACATAATATCCATCATATCGAAGTAAACTTGGAGTCACGAGATGACGTTTTGTGGTCCTCCCATTACGACTCGTCGAGAAAGCATGCAGTTTATTAGGCTACAGATTAAATAAATTGAACTTTCACAGGGTGGTGAAAGTGCAAGGTAATGAACTTGATGCTCCTTTCCAATAAATATCGAGGGTCTTACTCTGGTGACACGATCATCAATGCTAGGCTGCAGTTTGACAAATAAAAATAATGTTGCTCTTTTGCCCATAATAAGCTCATCATGTAGGCTATACGTGTGCTCTACCCAACAGCATGCAGATCCAGTACTGTATCTGCGCCCTGCGCGCTGTTGGCTAGAGCCAGAGTGGTGTCAATACCAGAGTGGTATATAACAAAACAAACATTGTGAGAAAACCATCAGTAGAGTTGAAAATGCAATTGAAAACCATTTAACTTGTATTTTTAATTCAGTACATGGGAATTGAACCGCAAAATATATTTTGATGTGCACTACGTCATCACGCACAGCCTTTTATCTGCAACAAGTCAATTTGATGGAAACATCTCTGGTGGGAAAATGTGCATATTGTTTTTATGCAGATTTTTGAATATTCGCATGAAAATCTGTCGCCAATTGGATGGTAACCTAGCTAGTGACTAAAATGTCAAGTGACAAAAGATCATCTAAACCATGCAGTGATGGAAAAAACATCAATGTAGTAAACATGCTTAAAGTATGAATGTACTATACGGAGCACAGTAGTTACACAAGGCTAAACATCGGTGACATCACAATATGTCAGTTTTGTGATGTGTACGTTTTTCTATATATTTTTTGGGATTCTGTGGAACCCAGAGCGGTATACTGCAAAGCAGGATCAATTAGTTAGCCAGCTAACTTTGATAAGCAACCAGAAATAACTATCGATTTTATGGTTCATTAAAAAAGCTCAATTTAGATATGTTTCATTTGTTGAATCAATTAGACCATGCCCATTTCAAACCAGTCGAAAGTTTGGACACGCCTACTTATTCCAGGGTTTTTCTTTATTTTCTACTATTTTCTACATTGTAGAATAATAGTGAAGACATCAAAACTATGAAATAACACATATGGAATCATGTGGTAACCAAAAAAGTGTTAATCAAATCAAAATACATTTTATATTTGAGATTCTTCAAAGTAGACACCCTTTGCCTTGATGACAGCTTTGCACGCTATTGGCATTCTCTCAACCAGCTTCACCTGGAATGCTTTTCCAACAGTCTTGAAGGAGTTCCCACATATGCTGAGCACTTGTTGGCTGCTTTTACTTCACTCTGCGGTCCAACTCATCCCAAACCATCTCAATTGGGTTGAGGTCGGGGGATTGTGGAGGCCAGGTCATCTGATGCAGCACTTCATCACTCTCCTTTTTTGTCAAATAGCCCTTACACAGCCAGGAGGTGTGTTGGGTCATCGTCCTGTTGAAAAACAAATGGCGTATCGCTGCAGAATGCTGTATTAGCCAATCTGGTTAAGTGTGCCTTCAATTCTAAATAAATCACAGACAGTGTCACCAGCAAAGCAGCAAAGCACACCATCACACTTCCTCCTCAATGCTTCACGGTGGGAACCACACATGCAGAGATCATTCATTCACCTACTCTGCGTCTCACAAAGACACGGCAGTTGGAACCAAAAATCGCCAATTTGGACTCATCAGATCAAAGGACAGATTTCCACCGGTCTTATGTCCATTTCTCGTTGATGTTGAGATGTGTCTGTTACTTGAACTCTGTGAAGCATTTATTTGGGCAGCAATCTGAGGTGCAGTTAACTCTAATGAACTTATCCTCTGCAGCAGAGGTAACTCTGGGTCTTCCTTTCCTGTGGTGGTCCTCATGAGAGCCAGTTTCATCATAGCGCTTGATGGTTTTTGCGACTGCACAAATTTTCCGGATTTACTGACCTTCATGTCTTAAAGTAATGATGGACTGTCATTTCTCTTTGCTTTTTTGAGGTGTTCTTGCCATAATATGGACTTGGTCTTTTACCATATAGGGCTATCTTCTGTATACCCCACCTACATTGTCACAACACAACTGATTGGCTCAAATGCATTAAGAAGGAAAGACATTCCATAAATTAACTTTTAAGAAGGCACACCTGTTAATTGAAATGCATTCCAGGTGACTACCTCATGAAGCTGGTCGAGAGAATGCCAAGAGTGTGCAAAGCTGTCAAGGCAAAAGGTGGCTACTTTGAAGAATCTCAAATATAAAATATATTTTGATTTGTTTAACACTTTTTTGGTTACTTTTTTGGTTACTTTGGTTACATAGTTTTGATGTCTTCACTATTATTGTACAATGTAGAAAATAGTACAAATAAAGATAAACCATGGAATGATTAGATGTGTCCAAACTTTTGACTGGTACTGTATTTACAGTATATCTATATATATATATTACTATATATATATATATATATATATATATATATATATTACTATATATATATATATATATATATATACAGGCAAATTAGCTGTCTAACTCCTTGATCCTGCTTTGTAGTATACCCCTCAGGACTACTTGAGAAACAGTGGCAATTGTTACTGAGTGGACCATCCTGGCTAGATAAATACAATTAAATGAAATGAGTTACAACATCTGATCATTTCAGTAGCCTATGTTAGCTTTTACGTAACCAACCATAATTGCCATGCTAGAAAAGGGGCCCTATTCAAGCAATCCCAGTAACTAGGCATTATCAATAGAAAATCATAATGTTGACAGTGGAAAACAAAAACAAATGATTACTAGTAAACACAAAAGAGCCCAGAAAATAACAGAAATATAGGTACATGATTAAACCTTTATACTGATGTAAGATAAATGACAAAACTAAACATAATGGATAGGCAATCTGACTAGCTATGCATTGTTTTAAAATCTAAAGTAAAAATGTTGCAATCAGATTAACTGGACCCAATCTGATATGTACCGTAGTAGGTGTATAGGTCCACTAGTTCATTAGTACATCCGGAGGTCCATGCCAGCGGTCCTGTTACTCAACGACCTGCACAGACCTGTGAGCCGCGCTGGTGATGTCGTTCACAAAGGAACCCTTATTCATCCCTTGCTGTAGGACAAATTATTAAATAGACATTAGATTTCCCCATTGATGCTGACTTTTTTTCCTTGACAAAAAAATAAGTTATGGCATAGTTACAGGTACTAGCTCACAGCAGGTTTCTCACCAAGTGTTGGCCAAGTGAAGCTGAAATGTCAAGTAACTGACGGAAGAGATCTAGGCACTATAGTCAGTATTAGTTAAAGATGAAAAGGTCTGCAGAGCCTAGCACTGTCGAACCTGTTTCCCTAGATTCCTTGGCTGTACCATTTCAGCACCTCTACGGTTCCTGTGTATATCATCTTTTTCAGGTGTACAGAATACTGTATTCTCCCACCAAACAGAACGTAATCCTTCCATCCGATCTCCACTGTTTTGGAAAATTACCTGACTGGGCATTAGGTTCACAGAACTGAGGAAATAAATTACCTCAACACACCCTCGACACACCCCACCCAGTCGAGTACAGACAAATACTGTGGATCTCTACTCTGCATTTTCACAACAACAAAACATAACCAGTAATATCAACCACCTTCGGGGAAGGGGTGATGAGTCATCATACAGATTACCGTCTTTGACCTGACTAAGCCTGCCTATTCAAAAAAAAAAGTTAACTAAGCCTGCCTATTCAGATTGTCCTTTCTATTGCCTCTATTTTAAAACCCACCCAATCACATGTTGTCTTCGCTATCGTTTGGTATTGAGGAGTAAACTGGTAGGTAAAAGCATAGTCGACAAAATAGGTAAATATCTGCAACAGGGATATCACATTGCATCTTACAATAACAGAATTTGTTTGAAATATCGGCCCAAAATTCTTACCTTTTTTAGGAAACTCTGTACATCCTTCTCTGACCAGAGGCTGTAGAGGAGCACACCTGCAGCTTTGCTGGCCTTTGGGAAATCCCTATCAAGAGAAAGAACAATCCCTGTAAGACTGGGGTATGCTTTCTGTTACGCTCAAACTCAAAGCTCTGTTATCTGGGTTCTTTAGAAAGTCCCCAAAGGGGCAGCCCACCACTGTTAGATTGTTTTCCTTTTTTCTTGACATAGTATTGTATATTACAAACTGCTCTAATTTCTTGTCTACTAGTTACAGGGAACAACGGAAATTTGTCTTCTGCTCCGTTCTCAACCCCCGCCCCAGACAGCACACATCACACATACAGTTGAGATGAGCACAGGGTCAAGCTGCAGTGCAGTGCCCCTGGATGGAGAGCATGTTGTAGGGTTAAGGGCCTTGCTCAAGGGCCTAACGGTAGGGGAATGGGAGGGGATCTTTTTTTTTTAAAACAATACAACCACACATGTGGATTCAGTACAATGACATTAAAATCATTGAGGATGACACAAAAAGTTTAAACATGTATTTCCATTGTGGTCCTCTTGAAAATACATGAAGAAATATATATACACAATATAACACGAAAACAAAATACATCTCAAATACATCTCATCAATATGGAGGAAACAGTAAAAGGAATAAAATAGATGACCAACGTTAATTGATACAGTTATACTTTCTTTTAGCATGTGCAGTTTTAAAGCATTTTGCCCATAAACCATTTCTAAAAGGTTTATCTTAAAACTCCATAGCGTAGGGATGGATACGAACCGGACACTTTTCAGCCACAGGTCAAACCCCTTAGCCGCAGGACTAACTACCTCCCACATTTAATTTTTTTGTAATACAAAATAACGACCAGGCCTTACCTCTTCTTGCTCAGGTCGTTAAGTGAGTTGACCAGGTTGTTGGTCAGCAGGGGTTTCCCCAGCTCAGGCTCCTTCACCAGCAGACTGTGGCTGGTTTGGCATGCCATGGCCAGGGTGTCATCACACTGCGTCTCTTCCTTGGTCCATGAGCTGAGGATGCCAACTAGCTCTGGCAAGGTCTGTCGGGCTTCAGACAAGACACATCCCATTAGGTCATTCACCTCCAGCAAACGCACTCTATGAAGTGTTGCTAATTCAACAACAAAATGTTAAAAGCTAAAACAACTAAAGGTCAGGTGTAAATTAAATGTAAATGTTTTCTTGTTTAATCCTCTCTGAAGGGAAGGGGAAAGTAAATGGAAAGGGGAATACCTAGTCAGTTGCACAACTTAATGTATCCAACCTAAATGTGTCTTCCGCATTTAACCCAAGTACCCAACCCCTTAGAATCAGAGAGGGGGGGGGGGGGGGGGGGGGGGGGGGGGGGGCTGCCTTAAAATACCAGGAGAAAATGTTCTTAGCTAAACTGACCCTGCGGGATGTTGCTCTCAATGCAAACTACACAATCATTGAAACAAGGTTGCCTCCAACCAATAGGATCTATCTATTCTACAAAGAACAGGGCTATGATTGGTGTCCATGCTCACCCATGGTGCTCTGAAGGCGTTGGTTCTTGGCCAGGTTTCCTACCAGAGACACAGCAGTTTTCTGGAGGCTGGGGTTGGAGGATTGCAGCAGGGGAGAGATGTGAGGCAGGCCGTTCAGCTTCTGCACGATGCTCTGGCTCATCACACTAGATACCTGTGGACACAGAGATGAAGGCATTATAAAGGGTCTATGAAGGGTTTATAAAGCATATTAAGTTTTTGTTTGAAGTGGGACCATGATTTGAATGTTGTTTTTCTACACACATTTGGTGCATGTTTTTCTCTATACATTTGGTGCATTTAAAAGACTTTTTGTGTGAATAAATAATGAAATAATCCAAATGACGATTGTTGTTCATACAATGCCGTGGTAAGCAGTGAGGTTCTGTAGGGCTCCAGAGCAGGCCTCCAGGGTGTCTTCTCTCTGGCTGGACCCCAGCAGAGACAGGTAACTCTGCATGGTCTTGGAGTGGAAGAGCCAGCCTGCTCCTGTAGGGTGCTGCTCCTCCATCACAGGGTAGTCAAAGTGACTCTACAGGAGTAAAAAGAGGAGGACCAAGTTATTATCAATCATCAGATTATGTAGGTGGGGACTTTTTCGAAAATATATGATGGAAGTTGATGTACATGTAATTGCTGTGTGTAATGATAAAAAGTGCATAGTTCATTCAATACTATATGTTGTTATTGTGTATCCGTCTTTCTCCGTTCTCCCTGGATTTTATTTGACCTATATGCCGGTCTCACCTCCTGCTCCTGGACCTTGCTGCTCTGTGGGCTGAAGCACCCAATGGGGCCGGTCTCACTGGGGGCGTTGGCCCTGCTGGGGGTCCTGGCCAAGGCAGTGATCCTGCTGAACAGGGCCGGGGCCTCACTCTCCAGCTGGAAGCTCAGGTTGTGCAGGACACACACACAATTTTCCACAGACTGACACAGACAGAGGCAGAGTATTAAAGGCTTGGTTAGTTTAGCATGTACTGTATCTGTATTGTAGCACACACATGTTCATAGTATGATCCATCCAACTCCAAGTTAAAAAGTAGGTACCAAAAAATATTTAACCAATGGAGAAAATGTATTCCATGAAATGTTCACATGCAGTTAGAACTATACTTTCTATTTTTGCTGAATAATTACATTCCATGAATTCAACATTACTTATTTCAACTTTAGTTGAAGTAATTAAATGTTGCATGCTCACCTTGTCATCTGGCCTCTCTGCAGCCACACAACCCTGGACGTAACTGACCAGTGAGTCGACGAGGCCTCGACAGTTACGCATGGCCTGCCTGTTGACTTGCTTTGCACAGCTCAGGTTTCTGTTGGGACAGTCGGGGAAAATGAAGTTAAACTGTTCTTGTCATATATCAGGTAAAGGCAGGTCAGGCCAGAATTGTGTAGTCTCACAGTGGAGAACAATACAGAATTGAAAAAAACAGTACTTCCATCCATTAGTGACAGTTAGAATTTGTATTCTGCTATTCACCCAATCCTCTGAGATGGCACAGACACAACTTAAGAGGCTAGGAGTAGTATAGAGAGTAAGCTACAGGTTCAGTCAGTGCAGTGCCTCTGGAGCAAATTTAGTTAAGTGCTTCGCTCAATGCCAAAACAAGCGTAGATGGTACCTGGCATCTGTCATCATTAGCCCTGCACATTCTCAGTTAATTGTCTGTCTCTCTAACCTCCTGGCTAACTGCCAGTATACATCTGTGCAATGTGCACTCCTTGTCTACAGTATTGATTGTTGTGTCTCACCGTAGACATGCTGTAGCATGGTAGAAGACCTCTGGGTCCTGGTTGTTGTTTGTCTCATCTCCTGTGTATGGTACTACCACAGTCTCAGTCAGGACAGGCAGAGCACTACGCACCAGCTCTGGCTTCAGACTGTCTGCAGACGACAGGTTCCAAAGGAGACCTGAAGCGAAAGGACAAAGTTGCAGTAGTTCAGTGGTAGTAGAAGCAGCAGTTGTTCAAATAGATGGTACCTGCTACTCATGTGACATTATTACCATCGATCTTAGCAAGCTCAACACAAACAAACAATAATTCAACACAAGCAATACTAGATAGCCAACACAGTGCACATTGATCAAACTCTCATGACATGGGCACGGCGTGTACTTCCCGAAGCATAACTAAGAAACAGAACAAAAGCCTGCGCACCCTTTGAGTCTCCACAACAACGGTTGGCACAAAATTTGTGTTTAATTTCCACTTAACTCCAGTACCGCTCTGTCATTGTCACTATATAGCAAAGATCCTGTAGCTATGTACTGTTGCTAGTCAACAATAGTGAGAGCCTCTAGAACACAGCCTATTGTGAAACGTCTCACCTATCAATGTCCCCTGGCACAATGCAGCACAAGAGAACATCTGTGTGACTGACAGCAGGATCTGATCAGGATTAAGGTGAGCGTGTTTAGTGAGTGTTTTCCTGTGCTCTACGGCATGAATACATTTAATGTAAATATGCATGTTTTGGCAACAGAAAGCAACACAAGCGTGTTTCCCTTTCATACCCGCTTGCATTCACACTGGGGCACATGTCTGCAAAGCGTCAGCAGTCTGTGATGTCACTAGACGGAGAAGTGTTGTGTACAGAAATAGAATAGTGTTCTCTACCTGTGAGTTGTTTCTGTGTCTCGGTAGAGTCTGTGTCTCGGAGCAGGGCCAGGGCCTCAGTGATGCCCCCACAGCGCTGGACCTCCTCCTTGTTGTCTGCATCTTTAAAGGCCAGGTTCCGCAGGGCGGCCGAGGCAGTCTGTTGGACCTGGGGACTGGGACTCCTAAGCAGGTTCACCAAAGGGGGGATCCCTTTTAGCCGCAACACCTGAGAGACACGTAAAGCTGTTAGATATCCTAATTCAGGACAGTGTCCTTCAGGACAGGACAGTTGTTTAATCCTGGTTCCAGAGACCCAGATGCGTGTCCTCACCTCCTGCTTGGCCTTGTCCTCTGAGTAGGTAGCGTGTTGGATGAAGGAGGCTCCACAGAGCTGGTAGTTCTCATCACCACTGGACAGGCACTCCACCGCCTCCTTCATGGTTATATCAGCTATCTGACCATTACCATTCATCCTGTTGGGAAAAACCACATACACATATCAACAGCTGTTCACAAACATTTGAAATGCAACTCATCAAACCCCAAAGCAGCATTTACACTCACCCCGCTTCACTCTTGCTCTTGATCCCCAATATCTTGGACTCGGCCACAGAGAGGTTTGAGGGCACCCTCTCAATACGAGCTTGGCTGCTGGTAATTTGGCCGCTACTTTTCGTCTGACGCGTGCCAATCAACTGGCTGTTCCTTTTCTGCACCCCATTGCCTTTGACAGCGACCTGAGAGGAGCCGTTGGAGGTTAACTGACTGCTCCTCCTCTCGGTCGGGAAGAAGCTGGACCTGTTGGGCTGGAGCTGCTGGGCACGGGGTGAGGACTGCAGTTGCTGCTGCTGCAGGGTGGTGGTGGGGAAGGGGGCCAGGTCAGGCACACTGCGGCTGCTGTTGCGCTTGCCTATGGTGGGGCTGAGAGGGAATTGTCTCTCCCACTGGCTGGAGCTACTCATGTTCCTCTGGACCGTAGATTCCTTGGAGGTCAGGACCCTTCGCTTAGTGCCTTTCTCGTAGCTGAGCTGCAGGACGAAGGAATTGAGTAAATGCTAGCAGACACAAAGCATGAATATTGCAACACTTTCAATCAGCTGGCACCAACTTCATTCCAAAATCATAATATACACAAAGGTATAGACCTTCACTTTGGGTGAAGATAAATACTGTGTACTGCATTTAATCACTCTATTGTTATTGATAACTATTCTAGACTTGTCTGATTGGCAGATGGCAGTGGGAAAAGATAACTATTAATATATGATTTGTAGTGTGCACCTCTCCAGAATAAGATTTATATTTCATAAACAGTTGCGACAGGCCGGGACACACTTGCATCCAAACAGAACATTTTGTGAATGCTTGTTTTTCTCACCGACTGTGAGTGACTGAGTTGTATGAGATATCCTTTGTAAATAATGTGTCAGAAATGTTTTACAGACAATAGTAATTAGTAATAGTATTAAGTAATAGTAAGGGTCATGGGTGACAATAATTTACAGTATAATCTACATAATATGTTCAGTGTCAATCTGGATTTCTTTCTCTCTTTGTTCATAAACAAGAATAAGGAGCTCGGTTGAGGTGGAAACTTGGCATAGTTTGGAGGACTCATCATGCCTCACATGTGTGAGGTGGATAAGTGAAAGCACATGATTGAGACAAAGATGTCTGTTTCAACAATGAGTCAGGTGCCATTATGGGAATATGCCTCATTTTCTCACTTGTGCTGGAGAGAAAGCTGCTTGAACAGAACAACACTCCCCAGACTTCTGAGCAGTATCTCACATTCACACCCATTCCTGAGGTTAGTCAGTCATCTCCAGCACCTGGTTACACCTGACTCAGACTCTCATGACAGACTGTTCACATACATTGAGTAGCTGGCCATGTGAGATATGGTTCTGGGTTCCGAGATTAGTCTCAGACATACTACCCCATGATGACCATGGCACTGCTTTTAAATTAATATCCACCACTCCTAAACCTGTAAATGGGATTTTAGGGAATGTTTTCTTTTTATCACCACTGAACCATAATTTGTCCTTAAATTATATACTGATAAATACAACTGATAAACCAAGCATAGTTATCAAAAACATGGGGAAATGTTTTCTATCTTTGTATGTAAAAGAAAAGGCTATGTGATGTGAAATATGAAAAGCTTCATACCGTTTTTGAGAGGCCATTTGTTTTTGAGAGTCCATTGGTACCATTAAAGAAGGCACTTCCATTGAGAGTGGTAGGTGACTTAAAGGAGTCAGTGAATATGTTGAAGTACACAGGACCTACGGAGAAAAACAAGAGATTGTAAATGGCTCTTAAAATATGTTAATATTAGTTATCACTGTAAAATATTGAGTGTGAGAAAAGGTACACTATTCATTGCTTTGATGTGATTGACTAATACATTTGAAATCTTTAATCAGAATACAAGATGCAGTGTGATGAGAGATGCAGTAATTATATGTTTTGCCAACTGTCAAACATCAAATGTGTTTTGCTTTGGTGGGACAAAATGCATTTTCGAACATGTTCCATATGAGCCTGCCAACCAAGTACTATACCTATTTGCTGTTTTGACAAAACCAAATGATTGGTATTGTACTGTTAACATCATTGGCATGCCATCCACAGTGTCTTATGCTTTCAGATAATAAAAAGGCATTCTAGTGAAATATGTATTGTAAGTCGCTCTGGATCAGGGTTAGGCTCAATTCAGGACTTTGGAATTGACTCCCATTCAACTCATGAGCTGAAATTCAAATTTAAATTGGCCGCACCCCAAAGGAGGTAGAACTTGAATTTGAGTGACAGGAAGTATAATTTAATTCAGTGCAATTCAAATAAATTCCACTTAGTCATAGAACATGTGTCACGATCGTTGCACGATGAAGCGGACCAAGGCGCAGCGTGATATGCGTACATTCTTTTATTGCAGTACACAACACGAACCAAAACAACAAAACAAACGATACGTGAAGTCCTGGGTTGAACACAAACTTTCCGGAACAAGATCCCACAAAATAACAGTGCCAAACAGGCTGCCTAAGTATGGGCCCCAATCAGAGACAACAAGCTAGAGCTGCCTCTGATTGGGAACCACCCTGGCCAACATAGATATACACAAACTAGAACACAAACCTAGAAAACTAAACAATGAAACCTACACACCCTGGCTCAACATATAATAGTCCCCAGAGCCAGGGCGTGACAACATGAGAGTTTGATTGAATCTGACAAGTCACACTTCCAGATACCAAATAATATATCACTTTCTTCATAAACTATTTTAAGCTTAAATACCCAATTATGTTTCCACCAACCATTTCGTTTGTTAGGCTTCTTTCGAAGGCCTCATGGTCAATTTGAGGGTTAAACAATGCAATCTGGGAAAGGTCGTATTTTCCCCATATTGAAAAAATATTTATCAAATATAATTACACAGAATATTCACATACAGGTTTTGTTTTCCTTGATCATTCATTTTAAGAGTTTCTGAAAATCAATTGTTTCAACAATATTTTATATGCATATAACGACATGTTTTATGTTTTATGTACAATATTTGTTTATACAATGGGTCGGTCTAATCCTGAATGCTGATTGGTTAAAACCGCATTCCAGCCGGTGTCTATTCCACAAGTTACCACCGGCTAAATCTATGACGTTAAAATGCCTATTTACTCTGTTCCATCTGACCGCGCAATCCACTGTCTCATCAGCCCAGCCAGGCACTTAAACTTGATCTCCATTATAAAAAGCATCTAGACATTAGCTCACATTTCTTTTAGACTAACATTTAGTTTTCAACAGCGGAGATTTGTATAAACCTTTCTGTCTGTCTCTCCAACATTTGCAACATTGTTTCAATATTCAAATTTGATCTCCAGCTGTCCCATAGTAATGAACATGTTGGGTTTCAGGATGAGACAGACAGGCAGGCAGCTTTTCTCAGCCAGTCAAAATCATGGATATATACAAAGAATTGGCAATTGAAAAAAGGTCAAACGAAACAAAGTGCAGCTAGCTCCTCCGAACAACAGTGTCCTGACGAGTGAGCACATTTTATATGACAGGCAAAATCGCGCCTCATTAGCTCATTGTTACGGATGTATCCAAATAAATGTCACTAGAAAACCTTGCTGTCTGTCTCTCCGACATTTGGAACATTATTTCAATATTCAACAATATTCATAACAGCTGTCCCATAGTAATGAGCATGTCGGGTGTCGGAACGAGACAGACAGGCAGCGTTTCTCAGCCAGCAAAAATCATGAATTTTTCCAATGTAGGCTACTTGTTATAATACATACAAGTGAGTAAGATTTACAATGTAGGCTACGCAAACAGTTAGTTATGGAGAACATGAACTATAGCCAATTCTCCATTTCCTTTTGAAAATGTAGAACAGGCCTGAGTGGTGTGGACATCATTCTATGGGTGTGGACATGGCCTTCCATGATGTGCAAATGTCCCTAGGAGCATAGTCCAGGGCCTTAATGAAAAAAAGACTTTACGTGGTGGATCAAAGCATGACATTGGTACAAACATTTCTCAGATGCTATGAAAACATCCTAGAAGGGGTGCTCACTGCAAATTTAATGAAGAGGCGGAATTAAAAATGGCCTCTGATGTAGACGGTAATGACAGTTTCATAAAAATAAATAAATAAAATTCTTACGGCGCTGGTTCACATGTGCCAGCACAATGGTATAATGCAGTACATGATAATCCAGCATCCTGGCATCGACATTTCGGAGAACAGAGGGGCTCACTTTTGCAGCCCCTAGTGTTGCACAGTACCCCGAAACTTCTGTACTTTTTCGACACTACAACATGAAAAACGGTTTGGTGCTAGAATTCTGTTACTTTCGGTTCTTCTATCAAATGTGTCTCACATTTGGAAATCAACTAAATGTATTGAATGTATTAGAACATTTATCAATTTGCCCAAGTTTATCATAAGACACGAACAGAATGCATCAGTGATTCATATTCCCTGCAACTTTCTGAAGAGGCAATGGCACGGGAATGCATGTAGTCTTCGGGTAGATGGAAAGGCTTTCTATCTACTACAAAGTAGCCTATGCCTACCTGGCAGGATCATGATTATTTGCATCAATCCAGTGGGCATTTGTTTTGCAAACTCCATCGTGTGTGTCCGCTACCGAAACACCGCTAACCAAACAAAAGTGGTAAGTTCATGCTCACTTGAATTAATGCTGCAATATGTAACTTTTTGGGAGCCCCGACCAAATTCACATAGAAATGTGAGTTAGAGATCTGTCATTCTCATTGAACGCAAGTCTAAGAAGCGGTAGATATGTTCTATGTGCGCTATTTCTATGCTTCCCGTTCGTTTTTGCGTATTTTACTTTTGGTTTAATACACCAGCTTCAAACAGCAAAAAATACAATATTTTGGGTTATGGACAATATATTTCACAGCAGTTTAGATGGTACAATGATTCTCTACACTATAATTGCTTGTTTTATCACATACTGTAGATCTCAATTCCATCTTCAAATTCATTGGCACACACAGTCTGTGTCAACATTTTGAAAAGCTCCTGTTTGTTAGTAGGATTTCTGAGAAAGTCAGATAATTTACATGGAAGTTTGATCGTCACCCAACATTCTTTCGGACGCCTTTTCCTAGAATCTCTCTTGTTGTGTGTCCCACATAATATCGATTCTATTGCAGTTTTTCAACTGGTGCTCTACCCAAGGCAGGAAGACACTACTACCATATTCTCCAAATGTGGAAACTTGGTAGGTAGGCAAGGAATGGACAATGACAACTCTGTCAATGATTTTGGCATCAAAAGAAGAGGGGCACAGGTAGGTAGGAATCTGCAGCGATCAGTCCTAGCAGATCAGATTTTGGGGTTGCCAGGTTAAGCATTCCGGTATTTAAAAAAGGACTGGAGGACATAGGTTATTCTCATGAGAGAAAAACTTGTCCAGGTTTCTATTTCGGAACTTGCTGGCAATGTAAAGTTGGCTGAAAAGTGTGCAATCACTTTTTATACTGATATTAGCTTTTTCTCTTTTGTGACTGCCTCTTTTGCCCTCAGAACAGCCTCAAGCCATTGACTCTACAAGGTGTCAAAAGTGTTCCACAGGGATGCTGGCCCATTTTGACTCCAACGCTTCCCACAGTTGTGTGAAGTTGGCTGGATGTCCTTTGGGTGGTGGACCATTCTTGATACAGACGGGAAATTGTTGTGTTAAAAAACCCAGCAGCATTGCAGTTCTTGACACAAACCGGTGCGCCTGGCACCTACTACCCTATCCCGTTCAAAGACACTTAAATATTTTGTCTTGCCCATTCACCCTCTGAATGGCACACATACACAATCCATGTCTCAGTTGTCTCAAGGCTTAAAAATCCTTCTTCCACCGGTCTCCTCCCCTTCATCTACACTGATTGAAGTGGATTTAACAAGTGACATCAATAAGGGATCATAGCTTTCATCTGGATTCACCTAGTCAGTCTATGTGATGGCAGGTGTTCTTAATGTTTGGACACTCAGTGTATATGATATTGAAAAGTGCCTAGTTTCTTAATGGTGCAGACAGTGATAATGACATTTTTGCTTGCACAATTGTGTGTATCCAAAACCAGAAGCTCTGGATATTTATCTAAGAATGGATTCCCCTTGCTTGAGATGGTGTGGCACAAGCTGGCTACTTGTATTTTGTGTGATGAACTTTGCTTGTGTTGAAGATTGTGTTAAAGGGGAATCTACATTCAAAATCTGGGATTGAAAACCAACCAGTAGTCTGGCCTGCTCAGGTCCTGCTACCATCAATCTCCAGAAGGCAGTGGGGTTCTCTGTTAGTCCAATGACTCCCCCTGTTCCTTTTACCAGCTAGATTTTTCTCATGGGCTTGGTCAAGTTGCATGAATTATAACTTATTTTGTGTTTTTGGCAGGACCCAGAAGTCTGAGAATTCTTCTCTGATGTTAGCCGGTAGAGCTTTCATGTCTTGAATGTGGATAGGAATCTACCTTGCGTAGTTTGTTCTGTCCAGTGCAAAGAACCATGGTGCCAAGGCCTCTAATGTTTCAACAGAAAGACCAAAATCTCTAGTTCTGTGCGCACAGTCAAAAATCATCACAAGTCTTTAAAATTCAAGAACAATGTTCCAGAACTGGAAGGTTTGATAATTGCTTTCAATGTATCAAAATAAGTGCATGTGGACTCCAACAGCCAAGCATCTTTCAGGAGTTTTGACAATGAAAGCAAAGCAACTTGATGACTGTGCCTGTTTTGGTAAAGTGTGCTGCCTATACAGTAAGTATGAGCCTGCTGTCCTCTGTAGCTCAGCTGGTAGAGCACGGCACTTGTAACGCCAAGGTAGTGGGTTCGAACCCCGGGACCACCCATACACAAAAATGTATGCACGCATGACTGTAAGTCGCTTTGGATAAAAGCGTCTGCTAAATGGCATATTATTATTATATTATAAGTTGCCTCCCCAGCATATGCATACCCAGCACCTCACAACATTCCCTGTTGGTCCACTACCAATTTCCCTAAGGACATCATTTTGTTAGCTGGGTAGCTAGCTAGAATTTATATTATACACTGAACAAAAATATAAACGCAACATGCAACAATTTCAAAGATTTTACTGAGTTACAGTTCATATAAGGAAATCAGTCAATTGAAATGAATTCAATAGGGCCTAATCTATGGATTTCACATGACTGGGAATACAGATATGCATCTGTTGGTTACAGATACTTTTTATTTTTTTAAGTAGGGGCGTAGACCAGAAAACCAGTCAGTATCTAGTGTTACCATCATGCAGCGTGACACATCTCCTTCGCTTCAGGCTGTTGATTGTGGCCTGTGGAATGTTGTCCCACTCCTTTTCAATGGCTCTGCAAAGTTGCTGGATATTGGCGGGAACTGGAACACGCTGTCTTACACGTCGATCCAGAGCATCCCAAACATGCTCAATGGGTGACATGTGTGGTGAGTATGCAGGCCATGGAAGAACTGGGACATTTTCAGCTTCCAGGAATTGTGTACAGATCCTTGCGACATGGTGGCGTGCATTATCATGCTGAAACATGAGGTAATGGCACGGCAATGGGCTTCAGGATCTCATCACTGTATCTCTGTGCATTCAAATTGCCATCGATAAAATGCAATTGTGTTCGTTGTCCGTAGCTTATGCCTGCCCATAACATTACCTCACCGCCACCATGGGGCACTCTGTTCACAATGTTGACATCAGCAAACCGCTCGCCCACACGACCCCATACAGTTGAAACCGGGATTCATCCATGAAGATCACACTTCTCCAGCGTCACAGTGGTCATCAAAGGTGAGCATTTGCCCACTGAAGTCAGTTACGACGCCGAACTGCAGTCAGGTCAAGACCCTGTTGAGGATGAAGAGCACACAGATGAGCTTCCCTGAGACGGTTTCTGAGAGTTTGTGCAGAAATTCTTCTGTTGTGCAAACCCACAGTTTCATCAGCTGTCCGGGTGGCTGGTCTCAGATGATCCCACAGGTGAAGAAGCTGGATGTGGAGGTCCTGGGCTGGCGTGGTTACACGTGGTCTGCAGTTGAGGTCAGTTGGACGTACAGCCAAATTCTCTAAAACGACGTTGGAGGCGGCTTATGGTAGAGAAATTAACATTAAATTCTCTGGCAACAGCTCTGGTGGACATCCGTGCAGTCAGCATGACTCAAAACATGAGACATTACATTTTACATTTTAGTCTTTTAGCAGACACTCTTATCCAGAGCGACTTACAGTTAGTGAGTGCATACATTTTCATACTGGCATTGTGTTGTGTGACAAAACTGGCCTTTTATTGTCCCCAGCACAAGTTGCACCTGTGTAATGATAATGCTGTTTAATCAGCTTCTAGATATCCCACACCAGTCAGGTGAATGGATTATCTTGGCAAAGGAGAAATGCTCACTAACAGGAAAGTAAACACATTGGTGCACAAACTTTGAGACAAAATAAGCTTAAATGTGCATATGGAAAATTTCTGGGATCTTTTATTTTAGCTCATGAAACATGGGACCAACACTTTAGATGTTGCGTTTATATTTTTGGTCAGTATATGTTGACTGTTGTGTTCCTTTAGCTAGGTAACCAACAAGACTAACATTTTAAGTGAACAAAAACTGTGGTTAGCTTTTCTTGACATGGCAAGGTTATGTAAAAGCCTATGTTAGAACGACCATCTCTGGTTTAAAGTCATATTGAAATTACCCATGTTCTCAATCAATTAGCTACATAATGCAACTCCTGGGGTGTGTTGTGATTTTTTTTTTTGCTGGATAACATTATGTTTTTAACCCTTTAAAGACATTTGTTAAGGTGATCCATGTAGTAGTTCAACAAAAGTGGTTTACAGATAGATTTCTGGCACTTTGGTCCACTACTCACAAATACACAATATGATTAATTATAAATGGCAACAAATATTTAACAGTAATATCACCGTTCCAAAATCGCATTCAGTATTGGCGGCCATAATGGATTATTATGTTAAAAAGAATCGGGGTGCCATGCCCCAATTTTTGGGGACCCATTCTAACATAAATTAATACATCCCAAAGAGTATCTCTTACAAATTGAAGGCTTAAATCCACTGGGTAACAGTTTCATATCAAGGTGATATTACATCAATTGTAGCGTAATGTAAAAGCCTATGTTAGTACGACCATCTCCAGTTTAAGGTCACATTCAGAGGAAACAACCCATGTTCTCAATAAATGTACTACATATGGTAACTCCTTGGGTGTGTGGTCAATTTTTTAACTTGATAACATAACAGGTTTTTTACCTTTAAGACATTTGTTGAGGTGGTTCAGGTAGTAGTTCAACAACATTTGAGTGGTTTACAGGTTGATTTCAGGTGTTTCCTGGCCATTTCTGCCACTTCAGGCAGGTTGGCTATGAAATATAAGACTGCTCCACTGCTACTTACAAATACACAAGATTTGTATTATATATGGCTAAAAAAAGTCAACACTACTATCACATTTCCAAAATCTGATTCAGTATTGGTGGCCATATATTGGGTTGTGTGCTTCTAATATCAATTAATGCATCCCAAAGAGCATCTCTACCAAATGTGATGCTTTAATCGCTCCATAAAATCAACATCAATAAGTTGCTATTTGTTTGGTTCAATAGTAAATAATTCTAAATGTACATCAGTTGGCCTAAACACTTTGTTTACTTAACAGACTTTACAACAGTGAAGTTGCTGATATCTTATGTATGCTGCTTTCATATTTGACAATGAATAAGCTAAATCATTCACAACAATGCAAATCGAATGTGTTAGTGTCAAAAAATATGAAACGATAACCAGATTGGACTTTAGGTCAATTCAAATACCATACAAATAACTTATTAGGCTATCTATGTTTTATTATAATAATTAGGCCTCTGCTTACTCGTTGGCGACGACAGAGATCCATTTTTACTGTACTTCGACTTGCCCCTCTTGATGGTTTGCACCTGATCCAAGACTCGTTGCTGTTTGGACCGAAGTTTGTTATCGGACGGCAAAGCAAGAGATGTCTCATCCACATTCCCGATGGACATCGCCGATTTCAACGGGTCCATTGTCATCATGAAGGTCTGTTTCCAGCTGTAATTCGAAAATGCGACGTCCGTACCTAGGTCTGTACAGGTGGCGTTTGTACAATCAACCTATGCAATGCACCTTGCCCTGAACAATGAACCACGCCCATTATAAAGCAATGACACGGTTGTGGATGTGGGTGTGAATGTAAGAAAGGGTTCATTGTCCTAGTACATTTTGGTCTTCCTGTGCGGCTGCTGACTGAAGATTCTGTAGAACAGGGTTCTTCAACCTTTTCTTGCCCAGGGTCCCCCTCCCAGGCAAACCAGCGACCCAGGCAATAATAACATGTTAATAATAACAACATGCTCAATAATAACATTTGATAAATAAAATAACTGAATTCACCTGTGATCACTACATTCATCATAATACTGTTTAAGGTAGCCAACATCCATGAAAAACTGTGATCTCCAGACCAGACCCAGAGCAAGGTAGACAGTTCAGTAATCATATAGTTTGGTAACTGGTTGAATTAATAATTATGCTCTTCACACTTTTCTGCACTGTGACGACCCTTCACCCTTTTGACCCTCAAGATGTTCATTAAGAGAGAATTCTGTACTGTATTATTCAATATCTCTCAAGCCTGTGACACTTTTATAACAAAGCGAGATAGACAAGGCTAGGTGAGATAGACAATCAGATTTGATATGAGGCATGCGTGAGAGCAAAGGTCAGACTCTGGAGCGACCACGTTTAAATGAATCACATTAGATATAAGCCTTCACTGAGTCTTTTGAAAAAACCTATTTGTCTAAAGATTCTTATCTCTTTATGAAAATTGATTAAACAGACCCTATTTTGAAGAACAAAGACCGTGAGAATACCCTGGGAAAATACCCAATTCAATTGTCAGATTGCATGCTGTTAGGCCAGGCAACTCATCTTCATTGGCAAAATGGTCTGGGGTAGACAAAAGAAAGCAGCACCACACCCATGGGCACAGTTTGGCGCCCTAGGGATGTTATTACTGTGGGTGGTGGCTAAACTACACCTGGCAATCTGCACCAAGCATTCATTTCCCACTTTTCAGGAAACCCTAGGATGGAATTAGGTGTTGATGTTCAGACATGTTTAATGACTCATTAGAGCAGAGTTTAAATGTTGTGTTGCAGTCACAGCAGTTCTATCCTTCGACCATACTATCAATTTTATTATTTTACTTTTATTTCACCTTTATTTAACCAGGTAAGCCAGTTGAGAACAAGTTCTCATTTACAACTGCGACCTGCCCAAGATAAAGCAAAGCAGTGCGATAAAAACAACAACAACACAGAGTTACACATGGGATAAACAAAACATACAGTCAATAACACAATAGAAAATATATATACAGTGTGTGCAAATGTAGTAAGTTAAGGAGGTAAGGCAATAAATAGGCCATAGTGCAAAATAATTACAATTTAGTATTAACACTGGAGTGATAGATGTGCAGAAGAAGTTGTGCAAATAGAGATACTGGGGTGCAAATGAGCAAAATAAATAACAATATGGGGATGAGGTAGTTGGGTGGGCTAATTTCAGAATGGCTGTGTACAGGTGCAGTGATCGGTAAGCTGCTCTGACAACTGATGCTTAAAGTTAGTGAGGGAGATACGAGTCTCCAGCTTCAGAGATTTTTTCAGTTCATTCCAGTCATTAGCAACAGAGAACTGGAAGGAATGGCGGCCAAAGGAGGTGTTGGCTTTGAGGATGACCAGTGAGATATACCTGCTGGAGCGCATACTACGGGTGGGTGTTGCTATGGTGACCAATGAGCTAAGATAAGGCGGGGATTTGCCTAGCAGTAATTTATAGATGACCTGGAGCCAGTGGGTTTGGCAACGAATATGTAGTGAGGGCCAGCCAACGAGAGCGTACAGGTCACAGTGGTAGGTAGTATATGGGGCTTTGGTGACAAAACGGATGGCACTGTGATAGACTACATCCAATTTGCTGAATAGTGTTGGAGGCTATTTTGTAAATGACATCGCCGAAATCAAGGATCAGTAAGATAGTCAGTTTTACGAGGGCATGTTTGGCAGCATGAGTGAAGGAGGCTTTGTTGCGAAATAGGAAACCGATTCTAGATCTATACAGACTTACAGTTTGTAGTTTCCAAATGTCAGTCGTAGGCTATATTATTATTACTTTGTAATAAACCCAAATGTCAGTGTAAACAAAGGCAAACAATACATATATTTTTTAAATGTTAAGTGAATGTACAAACGTCAATATTTTATAATACGTCTATTTCTCTTAAAGTTGGAAGATCTTTGTGTGTAAGTGTATGCATTTCCAGCAAAGACTATACCACAGATGGGAGACATCACATGGTTAATATTTGAAAGGTATATATGTATGGGTCACCTTGCTTTCCTATTTGTTTTGATTGCCATTAGAATTGTATTGCTATCCTCAGGTGGTCAGTCTCTGCTACATGTGCAACATTGCTCTCTAGTGGTAAGAAAAGTAAATTTGAACCACAAAGAAATGGAGAGATATTTATACCGCATGACTCTAAAGTGAATGGTGCACTGTGACTGGAATCGAACCCACAACCCTTGGTGTTGCAAGCGCCATGCTTTACCGACTAAGTTACTAAGCAGATGATATGAACAGAATGTCTGAAAGACTGTAGGCTCTTCCAAAGCTGCAGTGTCAATGATGTGTGATTGAGTGTTGATTCCCATGTGGCTCAGTTGGCAGAGCATGGCGCTTGCAACACCAGGGTTGTGGGTTTGATTCCCATGGGGGGCCAGTAAGAAAAAGTATGCACCCACTACTGTAAGTCATTCTGGATAAGAGCGTTTGCAAATTGATAAAATGTAAAAAGTGGATTGTCATTCATTTGCAGATCCTAAGAAGTAATCATACTATAAAAACATAGTTCACATAAATCCAAATATTAGTATACATTATTTATTATTGCCTTTAAAATCATGTCCTTCAATTGTCAATAATAATAATAACAATCCATATAATCAAGTGGATTGAATACTGCCTGAAATGTTATAGTGGATTATCATGGATTGTTAGTAACTATACAATATTAGCTAGAGTTCCGTTTTAACCAAGATGATTCAAAGAGTGCCAGAATACATTTAACTAGCCTACATTTGTGAAGATAACTGAATGTATCTATGTGTAATATTTAAAAAAAAAACTCATTATTCAGTCTTTTCCCTACATTAATTGCACTAAACGGAATCCCTGAAAAAAGCAGGTCAGGGTTACAGTTATGTTCTTTACTTTTAAATTGACAATCTCTGCATATGCAGCAATGGTTGCACTGGCCTTCGTTTTACAGTACATTCAATTACAAGGTAACAAGTACATTAAAAGCTTTATCTTGCTAATCAAGTGCAAGTACCCAAACAACTTGATCTTATCAACTTTATGTGAATCTTTATAAGTGTGCATTGATTGGTTACCATATCATTTGTTAATTTCATAAATAAATAAGAGCAAGTGACTCGATTAATCAACATTTTCTAAACACACTACTAAGACAAGCAAATGCGTTCAAATCTCTCCCTTTGGGACAGTGCACCCACCGTTCAAGAGATCTGATCATCTCCTCCAACACGTCTACGAAATAAAAGCCTAGTGTACAGTTCAAGAGAGGAACTGTGCTTTGTCCCCACAGTTCATTTCAAACCACGTCACAGGAGCTCTTGTCCTGCAGGGCACTTGGATGCTGAATTCCAAATGGCCCCTTAAGACTCTACTCCTTAGACACTCATGTTGATCTGAGAGGATTGGATAGGTGGAAGCAATATGGTAATAGTTCCACCCATCCAATCAGAAGACAGAGCTACTACTGCAATGCATCTACCTATCTAAGCCTATCAGATCTACAGGAGTGCCTAAGGTGTAAGGGCTAGGGGGATCAATTTGGAATTTAGTGTAACGTTCAAACCAACCGAACAAAACATGGCTCCAATAAAAGTAGAGGTCATACATCGTCCCTGAGTTGGGGTAAAGAGGCTCTAAGCTGCTATACACTGTAAAGGAATTCATGAAACAGAGGAAAGAATTGGTCCCACCAACACCCTGAGTGGTGGAATGCAAGCCAGACCTGAGGAACCTCCTAGTGCCAACGCAATCCTCAGGTCTGGCTATAGGAAAGATGTACATTAAGAATGTGTTTATCACCAGATTGTCTCATGGCCAATTGCCACGAGAAGCGGTCATTGTTCGAGAGGGAAGATGAGTAAGTGCTGTGCAATCCAAAGATTGTCGAGTGGAATTTACAGATGCACAAAGTTAAAAAAACGAAACAAACATAGCAGCTAAGCACATGAGCAAAGCCACTAAGAAAAGTAATTTTCTTTTGGTTCAAGTCATTACGTCAAAGCTTATGCTGAATGCTTCTACTGCAGTGAAACCTCAATAGCATAAAGCACATTCAGTCGATGCAGACAGACAACTCCAAGGACCTCTTTAAAAGCTGGAATCCTTAATGGTGAAACTGCCACGTCCGTTTGCAATATTACAATAGCAAATAAGTAACTGTAAACAACAAACACTGTTTTTCCCCCCATCGGACATCATTGCATACGCAATAGAACAGCAGCATATGTACTGTAATTTGTTTGATCTTAATACACGACGCTCCCCACCTCTGCTTCATCAACAATAAGAACAGCCCTGGGGCGTTGTTTCCCCTACTTCAGATTCCATCTTTAAGATCAGTTCCTCAAAGTTCATTTTATACCCCCCATGCCTCTATTCCTCTGGCTCCAGAGGGCAGGGATCCTGTCCGTCCGGTGGCCTACGGAGGGGGTTCAGAGGCTGGGCCAGGGGGAATCCCCTCAGCCTCTCCTGGAGGCTCCCTACAGCCAGCCTCATCTGGTCCTCTGCCCCCTGTAGAGCCTTCACCTCCATGGTGTAGAAGATGTAGAGCAGGAAGGTGGTGATCAGGATGGCAAAGCACAGCACGCCCAATAGGTAGAAGGAGGCCTGGGGGAAGGGCTGGTCAGCTCCCAGGGCTAGCCAGGGAACAGCAGCGATGGCCAGCTCCAACAGCAGCAGGGCCAGGCCCATCACCCCGGTACGAGCTGCCGTGTAGCGCATCCTCTCAGCACAGTACAGGCCCACCTTCACCTCAGTACGGGCCTCCGTCACTATGTCCACCAGCTCAGCCAGCTTACCTGAGGGAAGGAGGGAAATAGCAAGTCAAACCCTAGGCCATCACATTGTAACTGGAATGGTGTGTTGTCCGTAGAGAATGGTATGAAATAGTGGTGAATGAGGCTTAGAATGAGTACCTGCAGCACAGTCCTGCATACCTCTGGTCTCGTCTCCTCCTGCCTGCTGTGTCAGGGTCTGCAGCTGCAGCTCTGCGCTCAGGGCCTCGTGGTCAGAGTAAGGGAAGGGATGGTCAGGGACAGAACCCTTGGTGGTTGACAGAGACTCACACTGGATAGACACTCTTCCTGACCCCTGGGAATGATACAACACACATTTTAGTGTACAAGATGTACCATCAATACAATGATCAATGTCTATTTTTATTTTGGTAATAAGTAGGCACATTTATTGTCCAGTACATATTGGCAGACTGTTTGTCAAATATGAAAGTTAGTTAGAAATTAAAACAAATGCCGGATATCGAACGATCCTTCCCACTGTCACCTTGTAGAGGATGTAGTCTATTCGGATGCCCTTCTCGAAGGGGCAGAGCTCTTTGGGATTGATGAAAGGGTTATCTGCTATAAGAGTGATGCCGTCCTCACAGCCCTACAGAGAAAATATGATTAATAGCTTTTCAGTGTATTTTAATAAGCATTAGAGGCATGTGCATAACTAATCAAACATAAATCAACCTCTCCTCTGCAAGATATTTCAGTTAGATTTCAAATGAAAAAATTAATGGCACTGGACTGATCATCATACATCAAACTTAGCAGTCTCTGTGTAACTGTCCCGGAGGCCAGTGTATGTCCGTAGCAACCGGTTGCCAAGGTCCTGGGGATGCAGGTTCAGATCTCCGGCCAAAATCACCAGGTCTGCTCCACTGGAGGTATGACTAACAGAATAAATCAAAATAACACCCATTAAAATGGCATTGAAATTAAAATGCATTGAGTTTTAGCCTCCTTACCGTATAAACTGCTGCAGCTCCCAGGCCTGTACCACTCTATGAGGTAAGTAGGAGTCCTTCTCCCTGCAGTACTCTGCATGCAGCTGGACAACACACACACAGGAAGAGGACACCACATCAGTCATAGATACATCTCATATGCATGTGTCTGCTACAGGTAGAGGTTACCCCTAGGCACAGATCTAGGTTCAGCAAACTCCCCAAAATCCTAACCTTAGAAGGGGCAATCTGCAGTTCAAACAACAACAAAGCGGACTCCCCACCACTGCTGAGGGATGGGTTTGGAGAAATGTAAGCACTCTTAAATTCAGAGACAGAGCTCTAGTGCAAGAACAGGCCATATATGAGATGAACATTTTAGTTTTAAACATGTTTTGAGGCTATACAGTAATAATAATAATAATAATAATAATAATAATAATAAGCCATTTAGCAGACGCTTTTATCCAAAGCGACTTACAGTCATGCGTGCATACATTTTTGTGTATTGGTGGTCCCGGGGATCGAACCCACTACCTTGGCGTTACAAGCGCCGTGCTCTACCAGCTGAGCTACAGAGGACCACACAGTGTTTGTTTACATCTACATTGTTTACAAAAATTGGAGTAAAACAAGCTTATATTTTGGGTTCTGGTGGGGTACGACAGTTGAACTAAGCTCATGAGGCACGGATAAGTCATTTTCTTCAATAAATGAACGTAGCAACCGCAGATTGCCCCTTTAACCATTATGGAGAAATTAACTAAACTGCCCTTGGATCAGGGCACCATCATCTTATTCACAGGTGTGGATGAGAAGTTTGGATAGAAACACTTACATGTGTGACGTAGACATGTGCTGTCAGTCTGCCTATGTTTAATATGACCATCCCCACAGCCTTGCCTCCAAACCAGTCTCCATGTTGGGCCTGGATCAGAGGACAGGATACACAGTGAGGACTGAAGAGAATGTCTGACTACCTACCAAAGCCAAACTCATCATACTGTACACACAAATGTGTAAGGACTAGATGACTTACCATGTATGGATAGCCGTTTAATGAATAGCGGTAGAGAAATGCGTCATGGATTCTATGTCTGGAGAACGTGGCCAGTCCACTGCCTATGACGCCACTGGAGGAGAGGCGGGGGAGAGAAACACAACGTACAGCATTAAGATACACGTGTAGGCTACCACATGTTACTATAGAGTGTTTGGTCACACTTTACTTTAATGGTAGGCTACCTACAGAAGGACTTTATTACACATTCATAACCCATGCATACCTATGTACTGCTTATGAATGTGGTATGCATGGGTTATGAAGTCCTAATGTAGGTTCTGTTCAAGTAAAGTGCTAAATCCCATTTCTCTTATGTCTAAAAGCTGTAGACTGTTAGACATGATGACTAAACTACACCAGTCAATATGCTGAAAAGTGTATGTGACTTCTGACTAAACTGTAAGAACCAACTCACTAAAATCTGCTGATCTCCTCCACTCTTTTAGTGAATTTCTGAGAGGATTAGAAATGCAAGGCCTTTGAACTAATCTTAGTCCTGTGCCTTGGTATGGAGGTCAAGCAAGTATTAAGATTAACTTGGAGAAATTCCATTGTGCTATAGCTAGCTAATCTTCCTGCATTGAGGTCATTATCTTCCAAATGAATAGTTTATTGTGGTTGACATTAAAATGCAGTGTACAATGCAGAGCACAGGGATCACTATGTGTTTTGTCTTCCTATTAAAATAAGTCCTTAATGAACTATGTTTGACTAAGCAATTGAATGAAAACTTAAGTGATTTAAAATATTTTCCATGTGTTTTGAGAGTTGATGAAGGGGTTACTAGGAAAACGAACTACATGGAGGTCCTATAGGGCCAGGAACACCAACAGATTGAACAAGACATCTTGGTTCGAACATTTCTAATTGTACCTTTTGAAGTAATGGGAGTGCGGATGGATAGAGGAAAGTTTCCTTTTCAAGCAGAGGAAGTCTTTTTCACTCCAGACCTGAAAAATAAAACCAGGGGAACATTGAGAACATACAGTGCCTTCAGAAAGTATTCATACCCCTTGACTTATTCCACATTTTGTTGTGTTACAGCCAGAACAAAACACAATCTCACACAATACCCCATAATGACAAAGTGAAAACATGTTTTTAGAAATACTTGCAATGGATTGAAAATGAAATAAAGAAATATCTCATTTACATAAGTATTCACACCCCTGAGTCAATACATGTTAGAAACACATTTGGCAGTGATTACAGCTATTCTTTTCATAGTTCTTCAAGCTCTGTCAAATTGGTTGTTGATCATTGCTAGACACCCATTTTCAAGTTTTGCCATAGATTTTCAAGCAGATTTAAGTCAAAACTGTAACTCAGCCACTCAGGAACATTCACAATCTTCTTGGTAAGCAACTCCAGTGTATATTTGGCCTTGTGTTTTACGTTATTGTGCTGCTGAAAGGTGAATTCATCTGGCAGTGTCTGGTGGAAAGCAGACTGAACCATGTGTTCATCTAGGATTTTGCCTGTGCATAGCTCCATTCCGGTTATTTTTTTATCCTGAATAACTCCCCAGTCCTTAATGATGACAAGCATACCCATAATATGATGCAGCCACCACTATGCTTGAAAATATGGAGAGTGGTACTCAACAATGTGTTGTATTGGATTTGCCCCAAATGTAACAATATGTATTCAGGACAAATTGATTTGCCACATTTTTTTGCAGTATTACTTTAGTGCCTTGTTGCAAACAGGATGCAAGTTTTGGAATATTTGTCCTTATTCTATACAGGCTTCCTTCTTTTCACTGTCAATTAGGTTAGTATTGTGGAGTAACTACAATGTTGTTGATCCATCCTCAGTTTTCTCCTATCACAGCCATTAAACTCTGTAACCGTTGGCCTTGTGGTGAAATCCCTGAGCGGTTTCCTTCCTCTCCGGCAACTGCGTTAGGTAGGACACTTGTATCTTTGTAGTGACTGGTGTATTGATACACCATCCAAAGTGTTATTAATAACTTCACCATGCTGAACAGGATATTCAATGTCTGCTTTTTATTTTATTTTTACCTATCTACCAATAGGTGCCCTTCTTTGGAAAACCTCCCTGGTCTTTGTGTTTGAAATTCACTGCTTGACTCCAGGACCTTACAGATAATTGTATGTGTGGGGTAGAGAGATGTTAAACACTAGTATTGCACACAGTGAGTCCATGCAACTTATTATGTGACTTGTTAAGCAAATGTTTACTCCTGAACTTATTTAGGCTTGCCGTAACAAAGGGGTTGAATACTTATTGACTCAAGAAATGTCAGCTTTTCATTTCTTATGAATTTTTAAAAAATATCGAAGAACATAATTCCACTTTGACATTAATGGGTATTGTGTGTAGGCTAGTGACAAAAAATCTAAATGTAATCGATTTCAAATTCAGGCTGAAATACTACAAAACATGGAAAAATGTCAAGGGGTGTGAATACTTTCTGAAGGCACTGTACTTGAAGATATTCAATGATAAGCGTTCAGTAAGCGAAGGCTTCACCATGTTAATTAATAGCCTCAAGACAAGTGTTGAAAAGCTTGCTCAATAGAGAGGGATAACTTTGGGGAGGGTTTGTGGTATGTATGTATGTATATATGGTATGAACATAAGGGTGGAAAAATTCCACAGCTTTGGCAAAATGCCCAGACAGTCGAGACAGCTGTGAGAGTAGTGGAATGGCGTGTAACACAGTGGACCTCCCTCACCAAAACATGAGCAGAACAGACCAGTGTGTGAACAAACCTCTTGCAGCAGGACAATATCATGCTCCTCTCTGCTCAACAGCTCTCCTATCATGGCGTAGCGCTGCGGACAGTGCTTGCTGAGGTAACGGACACCCCTGAGAACAGGAAGGACAGACAGACAACATTACCACATTATAGGCCTAGTATGTGTGCGATGCAAAACATGTATGCTTACTCTGCACACACTAAAAACAAAACAGCACTCACCAGCAGTTGAGGGAGAAGACTCGGAGCCTGATGGTGTTGCTGTCAGCCATGGTAATAGGAATGAATGAACAGTGATGGCAGACTTCAACAGTGGTCAATGCCTGCCTGTGTGCTTAGGCTAGTCCCTGCTGTATGGATGGAGCCACGCCCCTAGTTAGGATCAGCAGTGAGGACTATGACTGGAACTCCAACAAGACAAAACATTGACAGAGTAGAGTAAGTCAACTTTGAGGCTGAATGCTCTCTAAGTGTCTATAGCCAGCCTAAGCAACTTGTATTGTATGTTCACAGTTCTATGTGAGAGAGGAGAACATTACTTGGAAGTTCAATTAAACAGCTGCGTAAAGATAGCTGGCACCTGGCAGCACTAAATCATTAATCCACACAGTCTAACAATGCAGGGGGACACCACACTCACTGTCTGTCTCCTCTCTTGCAGGGGGCCATAGCAGACTGACCTGACTGCCTCGAGACCAGCTTGCAGCCTAACTGACCGGCACTACTACAGCTTGTTTGCAATGAGAACCAGAGACAATTTATCGAAGTTAGTGCACCATCAACATGGCTAGCTACAACCAAAAAGGGCTTTAGCTAGCTAGCAGGCTTTGACTTTCACGACACAGAAACAGACCCGTAGCAATGTTTATAGACTCTAGCTAGCTAGCATTAGTTACATAAATGGAGAAGCTGGGTGACAATTTGGTGCGAATAAACTTTAACAATAAACTAGCAAATTATTTTAGCTAGATAGCCAATGATTTCAATGAACTTACCAACCTTGCAAGCAGGCTAGCTAGCTAGCTGGCAAGTTCCGTGCGGCTGCAGTTGGTCACATGCAATGAATATAAACCATTGGTCACATGTCGCGTGCTGACAAGTCAAGAAAACAGGGTCATACTTTTACAACCCTGTTCGTCATAATACCTTACTGTGGGTTTCGTTTTATTTACTGAAAAAAAGCTTGTTTCCAGCCAAGGCAGTTTCCCCATCACTGCTTTGCTTGACCGAAGATTATGGATATACTGACAAGTTACATGTTTCTCCGCCCTAACAATGGGAGTCGTTGTCTTCAAAGTGGCACGGCGAGCTGTCTAGCTCCCGCCTATCCTTTCTTTGGATTGGTGGATACATCTCATTATTGTAATTTAGTTTTTAATATTCGATTAGGGCTGTTAACGTCAACAGCCTGTTTTCAATGGGTGGGGGGATAGAGAGAGACGCTACCCTACTAGCATAATTTCATGAATATGCATAGCCATCTCAAAACAACTCCTGTATAAAGTGTTCCATTACATTACACATAAGAGTCATTGGATGGAGGCGTCTTCTGTAGGGGGAGTTTTGTCAAGTTTTGGAAGCATAAGGACCTTATATTTCATATTGGCAAAAAAACAAAAGGCTAAATTGATACACACCTTTATAGAGTTAGGGTTCCCACACAGCCATATTCCCCTTAGGGCAAAATGAGTTGTCCTAGACATATTTACATGGTTATCAAAACATCACACTGGGGTAAACCTACACGAAACGCAGTCCTTTTTTGAAGTTTTTCTGAAATCCCATATGGGAAAAACGAATGGTGGAAAAACAATTGGACCCATTTCCCTGTTTGATTGCTAGGTTTTATGGGTTTATATGACTCATAAGATAGAAGATAGCCCTATTTGGTTAAAGACCAAGTCCATATTATGGCAAGAACAGCTCAAATAAGCAAAGTGAAACGACAGTCCATCAGAAACCAGACAGATGAATAATGCCTACTCCACAGGAGGTTGGTGGCACTTTAATTGGGAAGGATGGGCTCGTGGTAATGGCTGGAGCGGAATTGGTGGAATGGTATCATATACAACAAACATATGGTTTCCATGTGTTTGATGCCATTCCATTAGCTCCGTTCCAGACATTATTGTGAGCTGTCCTCACCTCAGCAGCCTCCACTGGCCTACTCTGGTGTTTGTCCTTGTCCTCAAGTAGGCTACTGAATTGTGAAATTACATCATAGTTAGAAATGTGACAGAGGACTAACGGAAGTATACTTGTACAATATATTGCACATGCAATTACTATTTCAACAGTATAACAACGGTGCCATCTACAATAGTTTAGAGACAATGTATCTAATCTGTAAAGAAAACTGCATTGACCAATCAAATTACAAACATGTTTTAATGGGTTTTCTGGGGGAAAATGGCCCCAAAGGCACAATGCGTCTTTTATTGTTAGATTATACATATATTTTGATTTGATTATATAATACAATCCCCCTTACTTCGAAGATAACATACAAAAATGCAATGCACAATTGGTAACCAAGGCCACAATAAACCACCTATTAACCAAAAACACTTGCCCACACCATTCAGATTATGATACATAAGATCTCATCATCAATGTCAACAAAAACACACGTTTTCAACGGATGCATATGGCTTCCAATGAAAGTAAAAAAATGAAGAAAACAACAAACAAAAATATTAATTATGATAATAAAAAAAACAAGGGCCTGTAAAAAAAATGGTACAATTGAGAAATCCGCTAGTAAAGATTAAGCAGTTGTTTTAAGTCTAGCTTTTGAAGTATGACATTCAAATCCTGGTGTACTAAATCCACCATACAAAGTCTGATGTATGAATTCTTCTGACAGAATCCCAGTGAACCGTCCAAGGCAGAGACAATCCCCTATCTAGATCCATGGGATGACAGTTATCTTGTCTTTAGTATAAAGTTTAGCTCAGCAATACTTGTAACACCTCCATTGCAATGGCAAAGGATAAACACATGGCCCATAGCCCAGCCCAGCCCTCCCACCATTCGTTTCAATATAAATAACAATCAATGGTCACACCACAGCACAAAGAGGATAGCTCTCTTTCAAAACATAAAATATGTTTTTCATTGGCCGATGGCATTGACAAATTAAGAGTAGAATTTCTTGAGATAAGCTCATAAGTTAAGAGATCGCTTTTGTTTTTATTGGTTACATTTACAAAAGAGAAACTTCTCTTACATCATGTAGGCCTACAATCAGACTAAATGTGAAATCCATCAATTGGGATCTCTCAAATTGGATAAGAATACCTGGAGTTCTTACATTGGTTGAAACTCACCCTTAAATTTGGTCAGTTACAATTTGGCAAGTTCTAATCGGGCGAATTCTCAAGCTATGTTTTTAAGAAAACAGTGTTGAATCCCCTCCACTCTAAGAGAACAGCTATGGTCTCTGTGCTGAGTTAAAGTTAATCACAAATATAAACAAATCCCCAAAATACTCCTATGTAACACATATTCCTGTAGCATCCACTGACTCACAGTACAGAAACAGTTCATTTCAATATCATAACTAAAGGCAGAAAAGAAACATATTTGTTGCTTCACCCTTTCTTGATATTTTAAGTGCACCACAGCACATAGATGTGTTGTTGTCTAGACCCAATAAGCCAAGGGTTTCGAAACTGAATGATCTGAACATGCTATCCCCTTACTGTACAAGTAGACTGCAGCCAAACTTGGAACCATTCATGATAACACATCAATTGAAAATGAATAATAGTTTCACCCATCTCTGTCCATAACACAATGTGCTTGGATAAGAAGTGTGCTTCAAAGACCTAGATAAGAAAGGGTGAACTGCATAGTAATGTTCAGTTTCCAATGAATTGATGCATTTACATCTGTCTGGTTTCTTTCTGTTTATTTAAAGACAAGAGGTAGTACATAAGGCATTCCAGAGTGGCTGGCAATCAATCAATACTTGTCTTTGGAGAAAGGCACTTGGCTGCCATCCTATCTAATTTATCAACACCACTTGGTAGAAAAGTTCTACTTTTGGATTATTTTGTGGTTGTTCTTCTTCCATGGTCCTTGTAGCTGTACCGTTCCAATCTATACACTTTTTTCCATATTGCTTAGAGTGTGTTCCCTTGGAGACAACTCTCTTAACCTTGTACACTTTCTCATTCCCTCAGTAAAAACATCTCAAGCTACTGTACATTTATTGTCATTACCAATATGACCCACTTTGTCTTAGCACATTTAAATATATGGTTAATAAGTTGCCTTTCTTGTCTCATCCTTTTTCCTATTTTATCAAAACGTGTGGAAGTATAAAATCTGTTCGTGTCAGTTCATTCTAACGTCGTTTGAATGTTTCTTGGCAGTTGAGCAGTCTGTGTGTACTGTACAGATTGTGTCACGCAGTGCTTCGGCAGCCGATTCCCAAACCTCCCTGCAGAACGGTGGGTGGGTCAGTCTTTCACGAGCCTGTAGACGTGGTACTGTGCCCCGTGTTCACTCGTCGAGACCTCGAACACAAACGCTATACACAGCAAGGTCTCCTGAGTATCACGGTTTGTCACCACCTGAGGGGCAGAAGGAGGTAGCACGGCAAAATGAGATAAGAAACATGATTCAGCTACGGTCTTGCAACAGGTGAAAGACAGTAAATATCGTCAATCAATCAATCAATTAACAAAGCACAACAACACGAGGTCAAAAACATATCACCCAGCTATTGTCCTATGACCACGGTTGAAATATCAGTTCATTGCCAAATTGTAAGTTAGTTACTATTACATTTTACATTTTACGTCATTTAGCAGACGCTCTTATCCAGAGCGACTTACAGTTAGTGCATACATTATTATTTTCATACTGGCCCCCCGTGGGAATCGAACCCACAACCCTGGCGTTGTCTTAGTATCTTTGCAATGCAGTATGTTACCTGAAGGATAGTAAAGTTTTCCAGAACACTATTCATCATGTATTTTTCTGGCAGGTGTTTGAGCTTGTGAATGAAGTTGATCATGTACTCGCACATGGGAGAGCGGTGGATCCTGTAGACACATTTCCCTCCTTCCATTCGGGCGTACTCCGTCTGAAATTCACACGAGGAGAGATTTTAAAACTCTTACCCAAAACAGCAAACAATATCTTAGTTGAGGTAAATATAATATATATAGTGTCTGACAGTATATTTACTATTTAATTCCCATTTTGTTTAACCTTAATCTAACCAGTTAAGTCATTTACAGTTGAAGTCGGAAGTTTACATACACCTTAGCCAAATACATTTAAACTCAGTTTTTCACAATTCCTGACATTTAATCCTAGTAAAAATTCTGTCCTGTCTTAGGTCAATTAGGATCACCACTTTATTTTAAGAATGTGAAATGTCAGAATATTAGTAGAGAGAATTATTTTTTCAACTTTTATTTCTTTCATCACATTCCCAGTGGGTCAGAAGTTTACATACACTCAATTAGTATTTGGTAGCATTGCCTTTAAATTGTTTAACTTGGGTCCAACGTTTTGGGTAGCCTTCCACAAGCTTCCCACAATAAGTTGGGTGAATTTGGGCCCATTCCTCCTGACAGAGCTGGTGTAACTGAGTCAGGTTTGTAGGCCTCCTTGCCCGCACACGCTTTTTCAGTTCTGCCAACAATTTTTCTATAGGATTGAGGTCAGGGCTTTGTGATGGCCACTCCAATATCTTGACTTTGTTGTCCTTAAGCCATTTTGCCACAACTTTGGAAGTTTGCTTGGGGTCATTGTCCATTTGGAAGACCCATTTGCGACCAAACTTTAACTTCCTGACTGATGTCTTGAGATGTTGCTTCAATATATCCACATCATTTTCCTTCCTCATGATGCCATCTATTTTGTGAAGTGCACCAGTCCCTCCTGCAGCAAAGCACCCCCACAGCATGATGCTGCCACCCCCGTGCTTCACGGTTGGGATGGTGTTCTTCGGCTTGCAAGGTACCACCTTTTTCCTCCAAACATAAAGATGGTCATTATGGCCAAACAGTTCTATGTTTGTTTAATCAGACCAGAGGACATTTCTCCAAAAAGTACGATCTTTGTCCCATGTGCAGTTGCAAACCATAGTCTGGCTTTTTTATGGCGGTTTTGGAGCAGTGGCTTCTTCCTTGCTGAGCGGCCTTTCAGGTTATGTCGATATAGGACTCGTTTTTACTGTGGATATAGTTACTTTTGTACCTGTTTCCTACAGCATCTTCACAAGGTCCTTTGCTGTTGTTCTGGGATTGATTTGCACTTTTCGCACCAAAGTACGTTCATCTCTAGGAGACAGAACACGTCTCCTTCCTGAGCAGTATGACGGCTGCGTGGTCCCATGGTGTTTATACTTGCGTACTATTGTTTGTACAGATGAACGTGGTACCTTCAGGCGTTTGGAAATTGCTCCCAAGGATGAACCAGACTTGTGGAGGTCTACAATTTTTTTTTCTGAGGTCTTGGCTGATTTCTTTTGATTTTCCCATGATGTCAAGCAAAGAGGCACTGAGTTTGAAGGTAGGCCTTGAAATACATCCACAGGTACACCTCCAATTGACTCAAATGATGTCAATTAGCCTATCAGAAGCTTCTAAAGCCATGACATCATTTTCTGGAATTTTCCAAGCTTTTAAAGGCACAGTCAACTTAGTGTATGTAAACTTCTGACCCACTGGAATTATGATACAGTGAATTATAAGTGAAATAATCTGTAAACAATTGTTGGAATAATTACTTGTGTCATGCACAAAGTAGATGTCCTAACCGACTTGCCAAAACTATAGTTTGTTAACAAGAAATTTGTGGAGTGGTTGAAAAACGAGTTTTTTATGTAAACTTCCGACTTCAACTGTAAGTGCACCTCCTAATTTACCATGACGGCTTGACAGCTGTTTTTGTGACTATAAAGCAGACCCAGTTGAAAATGGCCTCACCTCTACTTTCTCTACCACCTGTTTGCCAAATGAGCAGACTTTGGTGGAGACGGTGATTGTCATGTTCTCAGAGCTGCTGTACTGGCTGCTGACTCCATAGAATGAGCCTGGGCCGTCCTGCATACCACTGCTGTTCAGATCCGCCTGCAGTGAGAGGACACACACAGGACAAGTCAGAGGACACACAGGACAAATCAGATTAACGCTCAGCTAACAGGCATAAACCCCCAAATACTGTATTTTTTCTTATTCCACTCTAAATGAGAGAATACTCAAACTACCAAAAGGGACTGTGTGAGAGTGTGACAGTGTAGGTTTAAACTATGTTTTAAATCAACACACTCCCCTGTAAAGCAGGAATCATCAACTAGATTCAGCTGCAGGCCGACTTCTTTCTTGAGCTGATTGTCGGGGGGCCAGAACATAATTACAACTAATTTGTAGACTAAAACATCATCCTTTCAAACCGTGGTTACATTTGTATACGATCACACCTCTCTATTATACTGTACGTGGGAATACTTGGGAACAGATTTCCAAAATTCCAATCACTTGGAGCTGATTTCCTGGTGTTTTTACAGTATTTTATGTCCAACAATGAAAATTCTAAAAATATACACTGAGTGTACAAAACATTCGGAACACCTTACTAATATTCAGTTGCACCACCCTTTGCCCTCAGAACAGCCTAAATTCATTCATTCAATTTGGCTGGATGTCTTTTGGGTGGTGGACCATTCTTGATACACACGGGAAATTGTTGAGCGTGAAAAACCCAGCAGCGTTGCAGTTCTTGACACACACAAATCGGTGCGCCTGGCACCTACTACCCTACCACGTTCAAAGGCACTTGAAATATTTTGTCTTGCCCATTCACCCTTTGAATGGCACACATACACAATCCATGTCTCTATTGTCTCAAGGCTTAAAAATCCTTCTTTGACCTGTCTCTTCCCCTTCATCTACACTGATTGAAGTGGATTTAACAAGTGACATCAATAAGGGATCATAGCTTTCACCTGGATTCAACTTGGGGGGGCCAAATAAAACTACCCGCGGGACAAATTCGGCCTGCGGGCCGCCAGTTTGGGAACCCTGCTGTAAAGCATTCAAGGTGAGGATCAAACAATAATAAAAAGTGATTTGTCAAACCATCAGTAATAAATACATTATTGAGCAAGATGATTTCATCATTACCCACCCAAAATTTGACTAGGAAAAAGGCGTTTTGGGGGCCTTTCTCATAAAGCTCTTTGAGTCCGCCCTTCTTCTCTGGGAACTTGTCATAGATCTGCCTGATGTCCACTGCCTCCAGCAGAGGGTCGCTGTAGGAGGGGTTGGTCTGACCAATGTGGACAAACAGGTGTTTGCTGTACTGCAGGGGGGAGAGAGAGAAAGATGTTCAGACCAGTTGCCATGACAGAAGTCTAGCTTGGCCATACTGAGTTAGTGCTAGACATGACTATGTGGACTGTAAAACAAAGGCTTTTATCTGCAACTTTTATTAGGACAGGTTGGTTAATGTGGTTGGGTGCTGTTGTTGGTTTGGTGACTCACATTGTCAGGGTCCCTCTGCACCTCCATGAAGGCAGAGTACTCTAGCATCCGCAGCTTGGAGGAGGCGATGGTCCGGTCCTGCCACACGGGCACCGCCGTAGCAGCCGGGGGGAGGGGGGGTGCCAAGGGTTCATAGGCTTAGAGAGAGAGAGAGAGAGAGAGAGAGAGAGAGAGAGAGACAGTCAGGCTGAGGTCTCAGAAGATAATGTTTAATTTCTGCATTAATGTTAAGCACCAGATATATTGCTGATGTGTATGTTATATCGAGTGTTTCATTACTGCTACCTTGGGACATGTCTCCGTTGTAAAACAGATTTTTTAATGAAGCATGAATGAATGTATGAATGGAGATGAAAATGAAATTGCTTGGACTCTACTCACTTGATATAGGTGGGGGGGCAGGGCCTGGCAGGTTTGGGTATGAGGACTGTGCAAAAGGTTTGATACTGAAAGAGATTGATCATCACATCACAGTCACTGTAAATTGAGGAGTCAAACTTTTCAATATTCACTATCCAACTCTTTGTGTTTTTTCCACTAATTTCCAAAAGTGAAATTCCATGTGAAACCTGGTTATGCTAGTGGCATGTGGCTTTGGGCTTCATTGGCATGTCAGACAGACTTGGATCCACAGTGTTATGACTAGTGTCTCAACATAGGCATGTGTCTGTGGCTGCATCAGCTAGACGTAAGTCCACCTCTGCTTCACTCTGTCATATTGCACTACGCCATGCACTTAGTTATGCTATTTAAATACTCTGATTGATTGGTTCATTGATTGATTGATTATTTGATAGATGTTTGTTGTCCTTCATGTGGACATACTGTGCTCATTTGTGACACTCATAATTTCAGAGGGATGCTTGAGAGTGACACACCAACGTTCACAATGGGCCAATTCCTTACAAATCCATATGCTTTTTTTGTGTGCAAGTCATGCTTAGAAGTCAATAGAAGATTTTCTTTCAATTTGATATGACAAACACGGATCTCAAGTTAGGTGATGTCACGGACTGATTCTGGCAACAGTTTGTCTGAAATCGCCTTCTTGTGTGACGTTTTTACAGCACAAATAGCTTTGGGATGTTTTTACATCCCTAATGGTCAGAACGGAACGACATTCCAAACAAATCCAGCATTGTGTTTGGTCTTCTCGCTCTCAGACGTGAAGCTGGCTGTGGCCTGGTTGTAAAATGAGTGCAGGAGCAGGAAGCATACTGAAGCAGAGTTAGTGCTGCCTTGTGATATAGCTAGACCAGGAGGGAACTTACGCATAGCTGGTGCGGCCAAGCCCAGGAGTCCTTCCCGGGTTGAGCTCTAGAACCAGCCTGATGTGCACAAATGCGATCCGTTAAACGTGCCAAAGAGAACCCGCCACTCCACTCACACCAAGTGTCAATCAATCAATCAAACGCACAGTCCAAACATACAATCTTAACCTGTCACTCAACAAATAGTTAACACAGTCATACTCACTCCTGAGAGGGGCCAGGTTGTCCTGGGATAGGGCCTGGCCAAAACTGGAAGGCAAAGATTACAGAGTCAGTTGCTTAGGTAATGTACTTTACTGTACTGTTTTCACATAGCCTACATCAATTACTAGTATAACAATAATGTTTAAATACTTGTAAATAGTGTCAATGCAGAGAAAGAGCAATCATTGCAATCTCAAACCCAGTGTAGAAGGGCTCACCCTGGCTTGCGGGGGATAAGGAGAATGGGGCAGCGGGGGTAGCTGGCTCTTGATCAGGCTCGGCGACACAATCTGAGCAGACGACAGTGCTGCCATGTTCTGGAGTGCCTTGTCTTTAGACGCCTGGTCCTGTGGATGAGGAGGGAGAGGTGAGGGAGATACACCACTAGGGGGCAGTCTAATACCTAGTACATACACTGAGTGTACAAAACATTCAGGACATCTTCCTAATATTGAGTTGATTTAAAAAGTGACATCAATAAGGGATCATAGCTTTCGCCTGGATTCACCTGGTCAGTCTGTCATGGAAAGTGCAGGTGTTCTTAATGTTTTGTACACTGACATCACTACTAGCCTACTCACAGTGCCCCAAGAGGAACACAGTTAGTTTAATAGCCATACAAAATCAACAGTTGCAACTATTACTACTATCACAATGTTTATACAAATATGTTTTATTTATACTGTAATCTAAAATTGTCTGAGCTTTTTATGTACTCTCATTAGGATCTTAAGTAAACATACAGCAGATCTGAGTCTTAAAAAGTGAACACTTTGCTGCAACTACATTTGGAGTACTACTAGGCTACAATCACTGAAAAGAAGACGTGAAGAGAACATATATACCGGTATGATTAATTGTACCATTCAACAATGAGCATATTAAAACTTTTTAAGCAACATAATCAAACAGAACATTCCAGGAGTCACATGATTCTAATTAGTAGCGACCTTGAAGGAAAACTTCAGAAAGAGAGTTTGTCTCTGAGAAAATCTGGTTGGCACCACCACTCTTATTATGGGAAAAGACAAAATAGAAAATAAGACTGCAGTAGAAAAAGTTCCTCTGTTTCAATACAGAAAAACAGGACTCTGAATAAATACATAAACCTAATGGCTGCATTGACTGCACTGTATATGGTCAGATTGCAATTGGTATGAATGTGTTTTGTCTGCAATGTTCTGCTGATTGTAATTGTCAGAGATATAAAAAATTAAAAAAGCGTAGATGGTTATGGTTAAGCTTGGCATGTTTGTACCAGGACATTCAAGAGCATTCGGCCCTACTTGTATGTTTACCCCAACAATAATGCTGAAACGTCACTTTCGGTGTGTCTCACAATTTACACAGACCCAGTATCTGACACTCTACACTACCGTTCAAAAGTTTGGGGTAACATAGAAATGTCCTTGTTTTTGAAAGAAAAGCAATGGTTTTTGTCCATTAAAATAACATCAAATTGATCAGAAATACAGTGTAGACATTGTTAATGTTGTAAATGGCTATTGTAGCTGGAAACGGCAGATTTTTGTATTGAATATCTACATAGGCGTACAGAGGCCCATTATCAGCAACCATCAGTCCTGTGTTCCAATACCACGTTGTGTTTGCTAATCCAAGTTCCTAGTTTATTTTTAAAAGGCTAATTGATCATTAGAAAACCCTTTTGCAATTATGTTAGCACAGCTGAAAACTGTTGTGCTGATTAAAGAAGCAATAAAACTGGCCTTCTTGAGACTAGTTGAGTATCTGGAGCATCAGCAATTGTGGGTTCGATTACAGGATCAAAATGGCCAGAAACAAATAACTTTCTTCTGAAACTTGTCAGTCTATTCTTGTTCTGAGAAATGAAGGCTATTCCATGAGAGAAATTGCCAAGAAACTGAAGATCTCGTACAACGCTGTGTACTACTCCCTTCACAGAACAGCGCAAACTGGCTCAAACAGTGCACAACTGAGCAAGAGGACAAATACATTAGAGTGTCTAGTTCGAGAAACAGACGCCTCACAGGTCCTCAACTGGCAGCTAATAAAAATAAAAGATGGGCAAAAGAACACAGACACCGGACAGAGGAAGATTGGAAAAAAGTGTTATGGACAGACTAATTGAAGTTTGAGGTGTTCGGATCACAAAGAAGAACATTTGTGAGACGCAGACCAAATGAAAATATGCTGGAGGAGTGCTTGATGCCATCTGTCAAGCATGGTGGAGGCAATGTGATGGTCTGGGGGTGCTTTGGTGGTGGTAAAGTGGGAGATTTGTACAGGGTATAAGGGATCTTGAAGAAGGAAGGCTATCACTCCATTTTGCAACGCCATGCCACACCCTGTGGACGGCGCTTGATTGGAACCAATTTCCTCCTACAGTCGTGGTCAAAAGTTTTGAGAATGACACAAATACTAATTTTCACAAAGTCTGCTGCCTCAGTTTTGATGATGGCAATTTGCATATACTCCAGAATGTCATGAAGAGTGATCAGATAAATTGCAATTAATTGCAAAGTCCCCCTTTGCCATGAAAATGAACTTAATCCCCAAAAAACATTTCCACTGCATTTCAGCCCTGCCACAAAAGGACCAGCTGACATCATGTCAGTGATTCTCTCGTTAACACAGGTGAGAGTGTTGACGAGGACAAGACTGGAGATCACTCTGTCATGCTGATTGAGTTAGAATAACAGACTGGAAGTTTTAAAAGGAGGGAGGTGCTTGAAATCATTGTTCTTCCTCTGTTAACCATGGCTACCTGCAAGGAAACACGTGCCGTCATCATTGCTTTGCACAAAAAGGGCATCACAGGCAAGGATATTGCTGCTAGTAAGATTGCACCTAAATCAACCATTTATCGGATCATCAAGAACTTCAAGGAGAGAGGTTCAATTGTTGTGAAGAAGGCGTCAGGGCGCCCATGAAAGTCCAGCAAGCGCCAGGACCGTCTCCTAAAGTTGATTCAGCTGCGGGATCGGGGCACCACCAGTGCAGAGCTTGCTCAGGAATGGCAGCAGGCAGGTGTGAGTGCATCTGCATGCACAGTGAGGAGAAGAGTTTTGGAGGATGGCCTGGTGTCAAGAAGGGCAGCAAAGAAGCCACTTCTCTCCAGGAAAAACATTACATTTACATTTTAGCAGACGCTCTTATCTAGAGTGACTTACAGTTAGTGAGCGCATACATTACTTTTTTATACTGGCCCCCCTTGGGAATCGAATCCACAACCCTGGCGTTGCAAACGCCATGCTCTACCAACTGAGCTACATCCCTGCCGGCCATTCCCTCCCCTACCCTGGGCCAATTGTGCGCCGCCCCATGGGTCTCCCGGTCGTGGCCAGCTACGACAGAGCCTGGATTCGAACCAGGATCTCTAGTGGCACAACTTTATACCACTGCCTTAGACCACTGTGCCACTCGGGAGGTATACATCAGGGACAGACTGATATTCTGCAAAAGGTACAGGGATTGGGCTGTTGAGGACTGGGGTAAAGTCACTCTGATGAATCCCCTTTCTGATTGTTTGGGGCATAAAAATATCTCATAACACTGAAGCAGCAAACTTTGTGAAGACCAATACTTGTGTCATTCTCTTTTGACCACGACTGTACAACAGGACAATGACCCAAAGCACAGCTCCAAACTATGCAATAACTATTTAGGGAAGAAGCAGTCAGCTGGTATTCTGTCTATAATGGAGTGGCCAGCACAGTCACCGGATCTCAACCCTATTGAGCTGTTGTGGGAGCAGCTTGACCATATGGTACTTAAGAAGTGCCCATCAAGCTAATCCAACTAGTGGGAGGTGCTTCAGGAAGCATTGGGTGAAATCTCTTCAGATTACCTCAACAAATTGACAACTAGAATGCCAAAGGTCTGTAAGGCTGTAATTGCCACAAATGGAGGATTCTTTGACGAAAGCAAAGTTTGAAGGACACAATTATTATTTCTATTAAAAATCATTATTTCTAACCTTGTTAATGACTACATTTCCTATGCATTTTGCTATATTTCCTATTCAAACTCATTTCATGTATGTTTTCATGGAAAACAAGGACATTTCTAAGTGACCCCAAACTTCTGAACGGTAGTGTATATAGCAATATCACAAAACTAGTGTCATGGTACAAAGTACAGAGGGGACAGTTAAATTGCACTACACTCCTCAGTCCCCACAATTATTTGGTGTGGAAGCTGTGAATTAAAGTGATATCAGGACATCCGTCAGAAACAAGGAGAGAGAGGGGAAAAAGTCAAGTGGATCTAAAAGGCCAACACCTTTCGGTGTATTCTCATCACTGTGCAACTACAGTGGGGAGAACAAGTATTTGATACACTGCCGATTTTGCAGGTTTTCCTACTTACAAAGCATGTAGAGGTCTGTAATTTTTATCATAGGTACACTTCAACTGTGAGAGACGGAATCTAAAACAAAAATCCAGAAAATCACATTGTATGATTTTTAAGTAATTCATTTGCATTTTATTGCATGACATAAGTATTTGATACATCAGAAAAGCAGAACTTAATATTTGGTACAGAAACCTTTGTTTGCAATTACAGAGATCATACGTTTCCTGTAGGTCTTGACCAGGTTTGCACACACTGCAGCAGGGATTTTGGCCCACTCCTCCATACAGACCTTCTCCAGATCCTTCAGGTTTCGGGGCTGTCACTGGGCAATACGGACTTTCAGCTCCCTCCAAAGATTTTCTATTGGGTTCAGGTCTGGAGACTGGCTAGGCCACTCCAGCACCTTTAGATGCTTCTTACGGAGCCACTCCTTAGTTGCCCTGGCTGTGTGTTTCGGGTCATTGTCATGCTGGAAGACCCAGCCACGACCCATCTTCAATGTTCTTACTGAGGGAAGGAGGTTGTTGGCCAAGATCTCGCGATACATGGCCCCATCCATCCTCCCCTCAATACGGTGCAGTCGTCCTGTCCCCTTTGCAGAAAAGCATCCCCAAAGAATGATGTTTCCACCTCCATGCTTCACTTTTGGGATGGTGTTCTTTGGGTTGTACTCATCCTTCTTCTTCCTCCAAACACGGCGAGTGGAGTTTAGACCAAAAAGCTCTATTTTTATCTCATCAGACCACATGACCTTCTCCCATTCCTCCTCTGGATCATCCAGATGGTCATTTGCAAACTTCAGACGGGCCTGGACATGCGCTGGCTTGAGCGGTGGAACCTTGCGTTCGCTGCAGGATTTTAATCCATGACGGCGTAGTGTGTTACTAATGGTTTTCTTTGAGACTGTGGTCCCAGCTCTCTTCAGGTCATTGACCAGGTCCTGCCATGTAGTTCTGGGCTGATCCCTCACCTTCCTCATGATCATTGATGCCCCACGAGGTGAGATCTTGCATGGAGCCCCAGACCGAGGGTGATTGACCGTCATCTTGAACTTCTTCCATTTTCTAATAATTGTGCCAACAGTTGTTGCCTTCTCACCAAGCTGCTTGCCTATTGTCCTGTAGCCCATCCCAGCCTTGTGCAGGTCTACAATTTTATCCCTGATGTCCTTACACAGCTCTCTGGTCTTGGCCATTGTGGAGAGGTTGGAGTCTGTTTGATTGAGTGTGTGGACAGGTGTCTTTTATACAGGTAATGAGTTCAAACAGGTGCAGTTAATACAGGTAATGAGTGGAGAACAGGAGGGCTTCTTAAAGAAAAACATACAGGTCTGTGAGAGCTGGAATTCTTACTGGTTGGTAGGTGATCAAATACTTATGTCATGCAAATTAATTACTTAAAAATCATACAATGTGATTTTCTGGATTTTTGTTTTAGATTCCGTCTCTCACAGTTGAAGTGTACCTATGATAAAAATTACAGACCTCTACATGCTTTGTAAGTAGATAAACCTGCAAAATCGGCAGTGTATCAAATACTTGTTCTCCCCACTGTATGTCACATTTCCTAGGGTGAGAAACAGCATATCCTACATTAGCCTTGTTGGGTAGTATTACTACATGTCAGGAAATAGGAATGAAATGCGTCTGTAAAAGCAGAAGAAAGCTGACCTAAAGAGTTTTCAAATGCAAAATCCTTAGTGTAAACAAAGTGAAATTAAAGCTACAAAACACAAGTTGTGTGTGGAACTGGTAGTGGTGATTTGCATTCATTAATTCATTCGGTAGTGGTGATTTGCAGAGCCATATAACTGACTATAGACTCCGGCCAAATAGAGGAACACGGGCAACGTTTATGTTTTCTCAATGTACTGTCATAATGCACTAAATGGTGTAAGTGCATCCCTAGGTTAAGTAGTACATTACACATTGGTAGTGGATGGGGTCTTATAACTGTGTACAATATAAAGCTCACTGAACCTATGCGCTGCATAAATGCTTTGCCTCATAATTGGACAAAAAAATCCCAGTGAAATTAATTACAATATTATCTAAGTGATGCTCAATGGAATTGAATCGTGATGTTGATCAGAAAATGTTTCTGTTTTTGCATGCAGATTTGACCATGCCTTAACATTCTCTTGGATCACAATAGCCTATGGACATGGAACAGACATGAAATGTTTGCTAATGCTGCTTCAAACTTTCCTTGTGTTTGTGTATGTAGCACACACTGAACAAGCATTACAAAGAAGGCTTGTGAGAGGAAAGTATATCTCAGAAGACGCAGCCCTCAGAGAAGCAGAATCACCCTGCACAAGCAAGCTGCTCAATGTTTAGCATAATCAGGTACAATGCACAGCAATGTGGTTTCAAGCACACACATTCCCTATTCCTAAGCATTGCTTTATTATGGGATAGCAGTGGGGTTGGGTTGCCATGCCAGCAGAGGGCATTAGCAGAGTGGACAATGCACTGGCACCGCCAAGCAGGGGGGAAGCAAATCGCAAAAGTCAAATCCACTTACCAAATTCATGGCCTGAATCAAAGGAAAGAGAAACGATTAGTATACACATCTAACTGCATATACTTAAAGGGATATGCTGATAAACTATGGGCTTGCTTATAGGCTGTGTCAGTACATACTAAATACAGCAATAATATAGTTCTGAAGATGTACTGTAGGCCACTAGGATGTTGAAATAAAAATGTTCTTATCCCTGAAGAAAAGGTAGGTGACACTTTAACTAAAAGACAGCAGGAATAATGCATTACGATGCACTCATAAATGCATTGCAAGACTTCATAATGACTTAGTATCATCTCCTTTTGAGCCTGTTGAATGTTTTTTTTCCATACAAAGGCAGAACATAATACAAGTTAATAATAAAACATTATAAGCACTTATAACAAGTAATAATGCATTATATCTGTTGGCTCTTAGTCAGGGGTGTTAAACATCTGGCACGCGAGCTGCAGATATCTCACATCAGTAAACTCAATACAAAGACTTGAGCAGAACACTATGGCATTACTTATGTAGTTACAGTGCATTCGGAAAGTATTCAGACCCCTTGACATTTTCCACATTTTGTTACGTTACAGTCTTATTCTAAAATTGATTAAATAGTGTTTTCCCCTCATCAATCTACACACAATATTCCATAATGACAAAGTCAGAACAGGTTGTAATTTTTTGTTGCAGATGACCATTTACTCAGTACTTTGTTGAAGCACCTTTGGCAGCGATTACAGCCTTGAGTCTTCTTGGGTATGACGCTACAAGCTTGGCACACCTGTATTTGGGGAGTTTCTCCCATTCTTCTCTGTAGATCCTCTCAAGCTCTGTCAGGTTGGATGGGGAGTGTCACTGCACAGCAATTTTCAGGTCTCTCCAGAGATGTTAGATCGGGATCAAGTCCGGGCTCTGGCTAGGCCACTCAAGGACATTCAGAAACATGTCCTGAAGCCACTCCTGCTTTGTCTTGGCTGTGTGCTTAGGGCCGTTGTCCTGTTGGAAGGTGAACCTTCGCCCTAGTCTGAGGTCCAAAGCGCACTGGAGCAAGTTTTCATCAAGTATCTCTCTGTACTTTGCCCCATTCATCTTTCCCTCGATCCTGACTAGTCTCCCAGTCCCTGCCACTGAAAAACATCCCCACAGCATGATGCTGCCACCACCATGCTTCACCGTAGGGATGGTGCCAGGTTTTCTCCAGATGTGACGCTTGGCATTCAGGCCAAAGAATTCAATATTGGTTTCATCAGACCATAGAATCTTGTTTCTCATGGTCTGAGACTCCTTTAGGTGTCTTTTGGCAAACTCCAAGCGGGCTGTAGTGCCTTTTACTGAGGAGTGGCTTCCGTCTGGCCACTCTACCATAAAGGCCTGATTGGTGGAGTGCTGCAGAGATGGTTGTCCTTCTGGAAGGTTCTACCATCCCCACAGAGGAACTCTGGAGCTCTGTCAGAGTGACCATCGGGTTCTTGGTCACCTCCCTGACCAAGGCCCTTCTCCCCCGATTGCTCGGTTTGGCCGGGCGGCCAGCTTTAGGAAGAGTCTTGGTGGTTCCAAACTTCTTCCATTTAAGAATGATGGAGGCCACTTCTTGGGGACCTTCAATGCTGCAGACATTTTTTGGTACCCTTCCCCAGGTCTGTGCCTCGACACAATCCTGTCTCGGAGCTCTACGGACAATTCCTTCGACCTCATGGCTTGGTTTTTGCTCTGACATGCACTGTCAACTGTGGGACCTTATCTAGACAGGTGTGTGCCTTTCCAAATCATGTCCAATCAATTTAATTTACCCCAGGTGAACTCCAATCAAGTTGTAGAAACATCTCAAGGATGATCAATGGAAACAAGATGCACCTGAGCTCAATTTCGAGTCTCATAGCAAAGGGTCTGAATACTTATGTAAATAAGGTATATATTTTTTTTTTATATATACATTTGCAAAAATGTCAAAAAAACTGTTTTCACTTTGTCATTATGGGGTATTGTGTGTAGATTGATGAGGAAAAAAATGCATTTAATCAATTTTAGAATAAGGCTGTAACGTAACAAAATGTGGAAAAAGGAAGGGGTCTGAATACTTTCTGAATGCACTGTATATCTAAATAACCTAGAAGGAGCCATGAATGATACAACGAAAAGCAACATCAAAGGGGAGCTGAATTTACCTATGGGACAGGAACTACGCTAGTAGGGACAATAATGTAGGGAAAGGTATATCTCTCTCATGCAAATAAATGTCCAAACATTGGGGTGGTTAAAATAATGGAGCTTCCCTATCTTATCAGATTCTCTCTACTAGATACGGTCTACTAGAATACCTCCTAAGTCTTAATAAATAGAGAAGTCTAATGGTCCAATAAACTTCAATGAAGGCAAATAGTGAACTACCAATTGCATTTTTGCAAAATGATTAATTACTATGCGAACTGTCAGTAATACACTTTAACACAATACTTTCCTCAGACACACTATTATGTTGATTCACTTTGTGTTATGTTTGCAGTTTGTTTTAGGGTTGAGGGATAGATTAAAGACCTAAAGTTGGATGAGGATTGGTGTAACAAACACCTCTGCCTGCCATCCTCCAATGGACAACAGGCAAGTGGCATATATTCTGCTGAATATAGGCTTATAAACATCAAACTCAAAGGAGAATCAGGTTGAGGAATAGGGTACACTCAATAGGGTATAGAAATAGAAGTAGTAGAGGTAGAATAGTATACAGGCAATACAATTGTTCTAAGCATACTGCTCTAGTAGTGTAAACATGCATGCTGGTTTACATCTAACATTTAGCTCTAGGTCTTTGCATACGGTTGGAGTAGTTAACTCTCATACAGGAGGACATTCCGATAGATCCAATGGAGATTGGGGTCAGAGCGGAGAGAAGGGTTGAAGGCGGAGGAAGAGCTGTGGAAAGCCTATAGGCAGAAGCATGGCTGGCATAGGTACAGTAGGGACAGATGTGGAGCTGTAGCGACAAGGCCATGTGCCAACACCTTTCACTATAGACAGATCACACTGCTCACAGCATTGCTCTAGGCTACACCACAGGCTGAGTTACTGTATACATGACAAGCAGTAGAATGAAGCCAGCTCATGCTATTATATAATTTCTTTACTGCTTTGTACAGTACTGTACTAAGCGTCGAGATGTATTTCAATGGTCAAAAGATGACCATGGTTTTAGCCTGTTGCTCTCTGTGCTGTGCATGCATGGTAGCTACTAGCTTTGTTCTCTATGCTCTCCCAGACAAGTTAGCTAGCCTATATGATGAGTCATGCAGTGACCTCAAGCCCATACACCCCTATGCAGACTGAGAGTCTCATACTGTACTGTTTGCCACTACTGATATGTTCTAGTCATGGAGCACCAATCCATTTACGGCTGTAATAGGAACTAAAGTGCACAAAATCGAGCTAATTGGATAGCGCAAAGCCAAGCCTTGACCAGCCCCGCCCTGCCCAGCCCGCAGAGAAGCGCATACCTTCAGCTTTGACTGGATCTCGCGAGATTTTCTCCGGGCGAGAACTTGCAAATGGCTAGAAACCTGCAGAGGAGAAGAGCCAAGAGGGGAAGAGAAAAGGAGACAGAGAGAAGAGAAGAGAAGAGAAGCCATAACCAAAGAGGAAAGAGATGCCCAGTCACAGTTGGCTGGAGGCCCGTTCGGTAGCACCTACCTTGATACCCGCTTGGTATTCTCGAACTTTCTTCCGTGCTAACACCTGTATGTGACTAGATACCTAAAGGGGTGCGGGATAGTTTTAAGCATCATAGAGCACGCACACACACGGATGCCCACCCGCACACACACACACACACACACACAATATTATACAGATACTCAAACATCAAATTAAGGCAATTCACAAGCTACTTTTTATTTTTATCTTTGATTTGAGTTGGATGGTGTTAACTGACAATTAAGGCAAAATGAAGTAATTATAAATGTTTGAGTCTGGGTGGTTAATTGTTTTATCATATATTTTGCTCTAAAATAAAAAGCAAGTATTGATACCTGTTTTCTTGTGCGGGTTTTGCCTGTCCTCAGCTTGATGTACCTGGCTATCAACTCATTGCGACCTGGAACAGGGAGGTGAAGAATACCATGACAAATACAGCATGGAAAGAAAGACAAATCTGATTCACACATTTAGGCAATCATTTGTGAAACATTGGCTTTTCTATAGCTGGCACTGATCTATGATCAGCTAAGCATTTTCCACCCTAGGTTGTTCAGATTTGGAAAGAAAAGACTGATCCTAGATCTGTGTCTATGGGCAACTTTAATCATGGCTCCGGATAAAAGTTGCCCATGATTCTACACATGATTCTACACAACAAACACAAGGTGGAGCTAAAGATATGCTGTTAAATATCTACAGGGGCTGAACAAAATCGCAGCACACCATCGTCTTCCCCAAAAGGTTCTTCTTAGGAACACACTTATTACCCAACCTTTCAGTCAGTGGGTGAACATTCCTATATACCACTGACACTGGGACACGACTAGCAATTTTAAAAAAAAAAGGGGCATATACTACAACTGACTGGTTCAACAACTTTTTTTCATTTCATTAGCTTGTTTGACACCTCCTGACTTTTAGCTCTTGCGGTCACATAATTACAGACACACAAAAAGAGAACAAACACGTGTTTCATTATGTAACATCTACACTCAACATTCTGCACAAACAGGTCGGCAGAGAAGTGCCTTCTATTCTTGGCTTTAATGGCTTTAGTCCAGACAGTTGACAGGGGCTTCAAATGGGTTACTTTTATTTGAATGCAACTTATCTGGATGTTTTTCAAATGAGAGAGCAACAGAACAATGGAATCTGTCAATGCTCTAAGCAATTAGTATTTTCCAGCATTGTCCGGTCATATTTGTTAGATTTGCCTGGTACAATTTGTGTATCTTTGTCCTAGGTAGGGAAGTCTGCATTTCATTTTGACATTTGCTGATTGGTAAGAGAAATTATTGGAAGTTCCCCAAAGAGGGTCGGTGTGTATCAGAGTGTAAGTGTGTGTATGTGAAAGAAGGAGAGAGATAAATCGAGGAAGAAAGAGAGAGAGAAAGAGAGACAACAGCTGTACCATCATGAATAATGACCTAAACTCCCTCACACTCATTGAGAGTAACTGAGAGCCAGCCATGAGCTCATTACTCCTCTCTCTAAAACACACACACATACACACTCAGTCCAGGTTATGAACAAAGGACAGCTAAAGCTTCACATTATCACAAACCCAGGGTGAAAAAAGCCCTGTTACAGGCCAGGCCAACCGACTTCAGACAGCACCGCAGACATAACGACAGGAGAAAAGCTAACATTGTGCCTTTTTCACACACTCCTTGGCCCTTGGCCTCGTTTAGGCTCTGCTCTGCTTGGTGTAATTATTCCCTCTCCCTCCTCTCTCTCTCGCTCTGTCGCTCCCTCCAATGAGCTGAGCTTAGCTGAGCAGGCCTCTCTCTCTCTCTCTCTCTCTCTCTCTCTCTCTCTCATGAGCTGAGCAGGCCTCCCTCCCTCCTCTCGCTCTCTCTCTCTCTCTCTCTCTCTCCAATGAGCTGAGCTTAGTTGAGCAGGACTCTCTCTCTCTTCCTCTCTCTCGCCACTGAGCTGCCTGGCCTGCCGATACTGAACTGCAGCAGCCAGTCAGATATCCAGCCGGTCAGCCCTCCGCCTCTCCCCCCGGCTAAGGAGAGACACGCCTGCCCCAGCGCCTCCGCATTCCTAGCATTCCTCCCAGCCTGTCACATCTGTGCTAGCCAGTCTGATTGGCCAGGGCCCTGCGAGCGCAGCCAGTGCCTGTGCGGACTGCGGACACACACATGCGCACAGCGCTAAGCTAATGGGCTTCACGTCCAAGGGTTGGTTGGCAGGGCTGTGGGAGAGGGTGGGGTGAGGGGCTGGGGACGGGGACGGGGGGGGTGTATTGGAATGGGAGGTATGGGGGGGGGCAGCTGAGGCTGTAACTCTTGAAGGAGACACAAAGCCATAACTGTCTTTGCCAAAAACTGCCACCTGGCATCAGGGCTGCCCCCAACCACACACACACACACCCCTCACTTCCCAAAACAACCCATGTGTGTGACCCTTTACCCAACGGACAGTAACACCTGCCACTGACCGTCGCAGTCAGGAGGTGGGAGAGAATAATTATAATCCCCCTACCCCCCTGGCCTGGCCCACTGACCCCTACCCTCCTCAGCCCAACTGCTACTCTCAATCTCCTGGACTGAGGGAGCAGTGGAACTAACTAACAAACTAACATGCTGACCAAACCGGCTCCGTGCGTGCTTCTACGTGCGCCATACAGGTTAAAGTACCAAAACCAACTGTGAACCAACTATATTATTTGGGGACAGGTCAAAACACACACGACTGTTGCTAGTTAATTTGTCCTGGTAGATAAACATTGGGTTGTTGTTTTACATGAAATGCATGACATTTTTTGGTGGCTGATTTTTTATGGCGGTTGGCAACCAACTTTAAGGTGTGGAACTCGTTCATCTTTTAATCACCCATGTGGCTATATGCTCATAAAAACCAATGAGGAAATGGGAGGACTTGCAGCACGTCAAGCGTCTAAAATAGAACCAAGTTCTATTTTAGCACCTGGCTACACAGACGCGCACGAGCAGTTTGGATGAAATTATTGAATAACATGCATGTGTACATTTATTTTGCAACGCTTGCGCAATGCGGCCGGTGTGGTCAGCAATGTATTGGCTTCTAAAATCTGTGCCATCCGTACTGAATACAGATTGTCAGCACAAACATAACTGGACTTGAGCTTAATTTACAGAGGCAGTTGTAAGAAATGTTGTGTTCTGTGTGTCTTCATTAAATGTTGTAACTAACTTGGGTTGCAAGCCATGGAATAAGCTTGTCTTTTGCCTGGTCTGACATGAATATTGCAAAGTAGAATATTGGGTTTGAGAGGCAGGCTGGCAAGGCCTGTTCAGACTAGACAGAGGGGTCAGCTAGGCGGAAGAGAAGGGGCCTCCTAGGCCCCAAGTCAGGTGGTGAACAGGTTGGCACACACACCGCCGAAAAACACAACTGGTGCACACACACATACACACAAACACACACTGCAGAGGATGGACTTTTTGTACATCTTCCTCTCTGTCCTTCCTATCTCTATCTCCATCTCCCCCCACTCTACCTCACCCTGTTTACCACCACCTCGCTCTCTCTCCGTCGCTGTCTCAGATTGCTCAACACCCACAGTTTGCAGAGCCCCGTAGGCTGACTTTGCCATGCTTAACCTCTTCCCTGCCAGGACACACCTATCCTTTTCTTTTACTGCCTGTCTACTGGAATTTTCCACTTCCACACTGAGATGGGGAGCGGAGGTAACTCACTGCTACACTCTCTCGCCCTCACTCCCTCTGTCTCTATCTATCTCGCTCCCTCTCTCGCTCCATCACTCTCTCCCACCTTTCACATTGAGGTAATGCTAAATTGCTAACATACTGTTCGGCCATGACAGAGAACATGCCTGACATCTCAGCTAGAGGCTAACAGGGAAACACCAGGCCCTCTCAGTCATCACACGCTGCTCTCCTCTCCCATCTATCAAACTGATGCACAGTATAGAATACTCATCCACCCACTGCACCTTATATTACTTTGTCCTTCTACTAACTCTGCGTGTGCAATGAACCCATCGCTCATTCCTGGCAGCTCACAAAGGTCACTAAGAGACATGTGCTTCCCTCCAACGCCCCATTTGCTGTTTTTTCCTTCTTACCCAGAGTGCATTGCAGCTGTGACAGCTGCAGGGCTCGGCGCGGCGTAGGAGCCGGAGGTGTGCTCAGGGCTTGACAACATGCCTTCTTTCAGCAACAACACAGGTGAACAATATGTCAGCAGTGCCCCACCACAAAACAAGACAGGCCACATTTTTTGACACACACTCATCCAGCAAAGATCCCTCGCTTTCACCTGTCCCCTTAAACCTGCTGGGTGCTCAGTTATCCCAATAGACACAGAGGCATGAACCATAGCCTGGCATCTATGTTCCTACCATTTTGGGGGTGTTCTACTTATTGAGTTTTGATTCCACATTCTATTTTCCATCTCAAGGGCATCTGACATTATGACCATCGGGGAAACCTGGTCAATTCTGAGCGCCACATGATACTCGTGGTTAATAGTCATCATGGAATACCAGTGGAAATTTGCAAAGGTTTCCCACAAGAACATTCCTTGTGGAAAAATCCAGATATAATTCCCAACGGTAGGGATAATGATGACTTGCCTGGTTTTGGAGGCCATGGTGTTAGGCTAGCATCGCTCCCCCAGTCTGAGACTGTGAAGTAGAAAGCATTACACGCAGTGAAATCGTTAAAATTCCCCCAGCCTCACGTCAGGGCAGCATTTAGATGTCTGAGGTCATTGCCTTGTAAGAAGGCTTCTTCTGGGATGGGGGCATGCCTCGGCGCTGCCAGAAGGGCCTCAGATGACTGGATAGGGTGTTTACTGCGCTGGAAAAAAGCAGGCGCTCTTCTTGACCTCTACTGGGGGTCCTGACAGTGTGGTGCGAAGGGAGGGAACACACTGTGGGGTTGACCTGCCACTTCTGTGTGCTCGTTTTCTGACAAACAATATTGAGCTATAGGCTCTGAACACTCACTGTCCTGCCAAACCAGGAGAGGAGCCGCCATCTTGCTTCCCATTAAAGTCTCTTCTTCAATAGACTCAAAGGGAAGGTCAATAGACAGACAGAGGTCAACCCATGGCAATGTTGTCAGAGCAAACTGTGCAGTTCTGCACTGCTATAAATGCATTGTCGCTAATAGGCAATACATAAACAATTTCACAGACACATTGAAGTGGTGCTAAACTGGTACATTCTCATTCTAAGTACCTCTATCACCAAGTAAGCCAAATACGAAATAGCATTTAGCAGCAGGTCCCTCTGACATATAGCCAGGTCACTGAATACGCTCATAAGCTAGCTAGCCATCCAGTCAAGTCAGATATAGTTAAAATGACTGTAACCGGTGGCAGACTCAACACCACATCCCGCCAGGAGGGGCGAGCTAATCAGAGCTCTGGCCTTGTTTAGACCCCAGCCAGCTCAGCCTATGATACCGGTATGTTCTCTATGTTCTCTGAAACAGCCCAGAAACGCAGCTAGCACAGCGGTAGCTAGCACAGCGGCAGCTAGCAGCTGAGTCATCTGAGGTATGTGCGTGTCTATCCACTACAGACGCATGCTAAACATTCCATTTTACAGCAGCAAGGACAGAAAAACAACACAGACAGTCATGAAAAGAAATCCCCTAAATATATACAGTCTTGAAATACTTTCTGATAGAAGTCGATGGTGGATTTAATAAGGTTTTGACGGTGCAGGCTTCAATTAAACCTTATGAGACATTAACAATAATTAAAGGACTTGAAATTCGTTGCACAACAGGACTTGAGGAGGACACTCAGCCTGTATCATGCTGGTGAACATAACATTGTTCCCCAAACCAAAAGAGGTTTCGTGAGGAGATTGTGAAGTCAAACTCCCTGAATAAGCCCCCATCTCAGCCCGTGCCCCATGCATTTCCTGACGATTCACATTTAAATTGGCTGTCTAATTCAAACCAGCAGCCCAGCCTGTCAAGGCCCTTTTTTCTCACCCATCAGAGGGAGAGAGAGTGGGAGATCAAAATAACTTAAGACAAATGCAGCCAGTTTCTAACACCTGGATGTTTCACGATTCTAACCAGCAACTTGCCAATTCCTCCATCTGGATGCAGAGGAATTCAGCACATAAATTGCTCTCTCCACCTGTGATTTAATGAACATGCTGGTGGAGGAAATAGCTAAGACCCCTAAAGGACCTTGTGAAGTGTTTTTGTTTCCATGGTTTGATTTATGGCGTTGATATAATCATTGCAAAGTTGTCCAACTGGTTCAAGAAGCAACAAAAGCTACTCTCGAGACCAGGTGAGCGACAGTGTATAACTACTCATTGCAAGAAGCATCTTAGTGCGTTAGACTGACATGAGTCTAATGAACGACCCTTGGTTTTGCTCCATAAGCAGAGAGCAGGTTTTGCCACTTTCCTAATTCACAGTAGGCCTAAGTACTGCAGATGAGGAAGAGAAGAGCAATAAATGACAGGTGGCAAATAGTTGGAGACAGCACAGACATGTGATGAAAGAACCAGTTTGGAGCTCTAAGGAAAGCCAGGTGAAAACCAGGCTGAAGGGAGCTGCCTGTGGTGTCTTCTGGGTAGCTCAGCTCCAGCTCTGCTGCTGTGTTCTAGTGAGACTGGAAGAACCAGCCCCTGGGTCAGTGGACGACAGGCTTAAACTTGTTCTGTAGAGCACTCTCAGAAAAAATTGGCTACATAGCCTGTGACAAAATCGAATGGGAGGGTAGGAAACTTTATTTGCTTAATGCATTGAGCAAGGACAGCCAGAGACTTACCATGATAGCCTTCTGTGGTGATCAGAATGATGAGAAAAAATCATAATAATGAACATCAAAGAAACATGTTTATTTCTATATACTACAAACTACTGAGGTGTTTTCCCTCCCTCACTCCAGAAGGGAATGGGATCCAAACACACTGAGCCACAGGTGTTTTAATGAATGAGCCAGAAAGTGATGCAGGGCAGATTAACACATGGACTGAGTTTGATTTTTGTTTCTCTGTGTGTGTACAGTTGAAGTCAGAAGTTTACATACACCTTAGCCAAATACATTTAAACTACGTTTTTCACAATTCCTGACATTTAATCCTAGTAAAAATTCCCTGTCTTAGGTCAGTTAGGATCACCACTTTATTTTAAGAATGTGAAATGTCAGAATAATAGTAGATAGAATGATTTATTTCAGCTTTTCTTTCTTTCATCACATTCCCAGTAGGTCAGAAGTTTACATACACTCAATTAGTATTTGGTAGCATTGCCTTTAAATTGTTTAACTTGTGTCCAACGTTTTGGGTAGCCTTCCACAAGCTTCCCACAATAAGTTGGGTGAATTTTGGCCCATTCCTCCTGACAGAGCTGGTGTAACTGAGTCAGGTTTGTAGGCCTCCTTGCTCGCACACACTTTTTCAGTTCTGCCCACAAGATTTCTATAGGATTGAGGTCAGGGCTTTGTGATGGCCCCTCCAATACCTTGACTTTGTTGTCCTTAAGTCATTTTGCTATTTGGAAGACCCATTTGCGACCAAGCTTTAACTTCCTGACTGATGTCTTGAGATGTTGCTTCAATATATGCACATCATTTTCTTTCCTCATGATGCCATCTATTTAGTGCACCAGTCCCTCCTGCAGCAAAGCACCCCCACAGCATGATGCTGCCACCCCCTTGCTTCATGGTTGGGATGGTGTTCTTCGGCTTGCAAGCGTACCCCTTTTTCCTCCAAACATAACGATGGTCATTATGGCCATACAGTTATAGGGGACATTTCTCCAAAAAGTACAATTTTTGTCCCCATGTGCAGTTGCAAACCGTACTCTGACTTTTTTATGGCGGTTTTAGAGCAGTGGCTTCTTCCTTGCTGAGCAGCCTTTCAGGTTATGTCGATATAGGACTTGTTTTACTGTGGATATAGATACTTTTGAACCTGTTTCCTCCAGCATCTTCACAAGGTCCTTTGCTGTTGTTCTGGGATTGATTTGCACTTTTTTGCACCAAAGTATGTGCATCTCTAGGTGACAGAATGCGTCTCCTTACTCAGCGGTATGTGTTTATCCTTGCGTACTATTGTTTGTACAGATTAACGTGGTACCTTCAGGCGTTTGGAAATTGCTCCCAAGGATGAACCAGACTTGTGGAGGTCTACAATTTATATTCTGAGGTCTTGGCTGATTTCTTTTGATTTTCCCATGATGTCAAGCAAAGAGGCACTGAGTTTGAAGGTAGGCCTTGAAATACATCCACAGGCACACATCCAGTTGACTCAAATGATGTAAATTAGCCTATCACCAAGCTGTTTAAAGGCACAGTCAACTTAGTGTATGTAAACTTCTGACCCACTGGAATTGTGATACAGTGAATTATAAGTGAAATAATCTGTCTGTAAACAATTGTTGGAAAAATTACTTGTGTCATGCACAAAGTAGATGTCCTAACTGACTTGCCAACACTATAGTTTGTTAACAAGAAATTTGTGGAGTGGTTGAAAAACGAATGTAAACCTCCGACTTCAACTGTATGTGTGTGTGCGTGTGTGACTACGTGCTCGTGTTTTACTCACCGTACATCTTGCCTTCGTCTGAGAGGATGATTTTCCTCCGTCCACAGGGGGGGTAGATGGCCAGGGCCTCCTGGAAGCTCTGCTCTATGTCTGGGCTCCACACCCCCTCGGCGTCCCCGTCCATGGCCTTGTCCAGCTCATCGCTGCCCTCGTCCAGCCCATCCCCCGGGCTACCGTTGGCACTCCACTCGTTGGAAGCAATGGTGGCGGCTCACCCTGGGCCCGACCCCGAGCCCCACAGTCAGAGGATCTGAGGGGGAGGAGAGAGAGAGAGAGAGAGAGAGAGAGAGGGAGAGAGAGAGAGACCGTCATTAACATTTAACATTTTGGTCATTTAGCACAGTGGTTCCCAAACTGTGGGGCGCTCCCCCTAGGGGGGAAGCGAGGGGTCGGCAGGGGGGGCGCAGGGGTCCCCCCCCAAAAAGGAACTCAGTCCAGCTTTCAACTTATTCTTGAAAGTTGTAATAGTAGAATGCACAAGGTGCAATTTCGAAATTGGGTAGTGCATCATCAGTTTTCCTCATCATGTCAGTCATTGCATACCTTAGAGAGCTTTTTTACACTTTTTACAACAACAAAAAAAACAATGTCTTAGAGAGCTAATTATAACTTGTCAGAAATGCCCACGAATACACATTAGACATGGCAAAATGTACAGAATTGCAAGACAATTAGCTTTAAAACTGCAACATTTTCTCTGCACCACATGACAAAAAGTGTAGAAATGCAGGAAATAAGCTTTAAACCTGGAAAATGTTATCTCTGCCAACAACAGGGGCGTGAACAGTTTGTGTCATGAACAGTGCTTGTGCCCATAGAAATAGATGTGGCGCGTGTGCGCGCAGGTTTGGAGGGGCGTGGGATGTTCCCCAATGCTGGAATGGGGGCCTGAGTGTTCAGAGCGAATTACAGTAGTGAGTACTTTCATTATGAAAAAGTATGAAAAAAGTGTGTTGTAATCGTTCTCGACAACTTCATCATCATTGTCATCATTAGCAGGCAAGTACATTTAAGATTCAGTCATATAAAGTAGGCTGTTTGTTTTCATTGAAATCATAAAATCTGTATAAATAAACAATACAGCCCCCAATTATTATAATTTCCTAGCCTTTATGTCTCTAAAACTGCCAAATGAATTCAAGATATTCTATAAAACCTAGTGTAAAGAGCACACTAATCAGCAGTGGCCTCAAAGAATTCTTGTGGTTAGGGGACTGTGTCCCAATGTGGTCGGCTCTTCGGCATTGTATTGTTTCTGAAATGAGAGTCCCCAAAGTATCCATTATTCCAGGATGTGTGTGTTTATAGATTTGACATTCTGCAGATGTTGACAAAAATACAAATATTGGACAAATATGGGGAAGGCCAATTGGGATGGTCCTATGGGTAAACTCAACTCCTCACGTTACAAGAACATTTTGAGGTTCCTCTGTAAAACAAATTCACGAGGGCATCATTGCACATTTTAAAGTTGCACAATGCAACTTCAGAAATATGAATTGGAGGATTAAGACAGATGTGAAAAGAAAAGCTAAAGTATTGTTTACTAAACATCACAACTACCCCATTGTACAAAGTTAACATTTCTCTTCACTAAAAGACAAAAGACGCAGACAACGGGCATTGTTTCTCCATTTATACCTCTATACAGTACAATAATAATATGTACAAGTAACTGCCAAAATAAAGAAAACCCCAACATAAAGTGTCTTAATAGGGCATTGGGCCACCACAAGCTTCCAGAACAGCTTCAATGCGCCTTGGCATAGATTCTACAAATGTATGTAACTCTATTGGAGGGATGCAACACCATTCTTCCATGAGAAATTCCATAATTTAGTGTTTTGTTGATGGTGGTGGAAAACGCCGTCTCAGGCTCTACTCCAGAATCTCCAATAAGTGTTCAATTGGGTTGAGATCTGGTGACTGAGACACACACACATGCACACACACAAACTTTAAACCCCCTACGCTCCTTTGAGACCCCTCTTTCAAAGTCTCTGAGATCTCTTTTTTTTACTAGCCATGGTAGCCAAAATAATGAGCAACTTGGCATTTTTATACATTACCCTAAGCATGATGGGATGTAGAACTGGCAGGAAAACCAGTTCTACCTCCTGAAGGGAAAACCCGCCAATCCAGTCTGACTAGGCCTGAATTTATCGCAGTAGGCCAGTCACAAACAGTAGAGTTAGTTGCTAGCTAACAACCATAACTAAGTGTAATGCCTAGTTTCAAGTTTCATTAGTCATATGTACGGGATACACATGGTATACACTGTCCAATGAAATGCTGACTTGCAGGTTCCTTCTCGACAATGCAACAACAATAAGGGTAAAGGGTTAGGAGTTAGGTTAAGGGTTTGGGTTATGGGTTAAGGTTAGGGGTTAGGGAAAATAGGATTTTGAATGTACATTTATGTTAGGTCCCTAGGAGGATAGAAGAACAAAGTGTGTGTGTGTGTGTGTGTGTGTGTGTGTGTGTGTGTGTGTGCTAACGTGCAGAGTCAGTGCAGGTGGTCAATCCAGTTCAAGTGTTCAGCAGTCTAATAAGTCTGGTTGAGGGAGACAGTGTGAGATTGTGAGGTAAACCTGAGAGCTTTGGGCCCCCCAGGACCAAGGTTGGTGTTAAACCCCCGACTGAATGTGGAGATCACGGCAGAATTTGCGTAGCACTCGTATTCAAGCTAAAAGTCCACAGAGATCAGGCTGCAGCGATACATCTACCCCAACACAACTCAAGATGAGCAGATCCAATGACCAGAAACTGCTACAGAAACTTGCACAATCACTGCAGTCAACGTCCACTGCAGTAGAAAGGTGTGGGTGCATATTGCATAATGTACATGCAAGTGTCTAGTAGAATCCATTACACGTTGGTTCTTTTAAGACCAGCAATGTTGGGTCAAGTATGTCCAAATGGTGTGTAAATGTTTTGGAGTCAGTCCCAGTGTTAATCCTAGCTGTATCCTAGTAGTGAAGACACAGCTGTCTCTTTCCCATTCAAGCTAGGATCATATGAGTCAATCGTTGAATAGTAAGAGTGATTCTGAGTTTCTTAAAAGTTTTGTCATGGGGATTTGACAATACCGATCAGAATCCCTGAGTAATGGGTTAAAATAGTAAATGAGTCTGTTTAGCGGGGTGCTGCTGTGCTGTGTGTGAAAGAGAAGCTCTCATGGAGAGCGAGGCTTAAATTCCAGACATGTCCTTATTAAGAAAGGGCTGTGAGCGCTCACTGTTCCTCCTCCTGCTTCTTTTGTGTCAACCCGACGCCCCCCTCCCCCACTCCACCCAGCGCTCAGAACGTCTCTGCCCAAATAAGGACTGGAGACCAAGGGATACATGTAGGGGGGAGGGGAGGGGAAAGGAGTGGAGGGGGCGGATTGTCCAATTTAGGCGTCCACTTCGGGGTCTGGAGAACAGTAGGATTGTTTCTGCTGGAATGCAACATCAGCATGGACAGAGAGAGAGACAGACACAACCACACTCACAGCCTCTCCATGACGCTGCCTGACGCTAACCAGCGAAGAGAGAGAGGACATTGTCAATGCTATGATTATATGGACTTTTACTATATTACTGTGTAATTCAATATAATGTAGTAAAACAGTGCAGAAAAGTCCAAATTGTCCATGACACAGCAAACGGAAATGAGACCCTTGCATATAACTGTGCAATTGTGTATTTAACTATCAACAATGGTTTTACAAACTTAAAATGTCAGATGCTACATGATGCCTATTTCAATTAGCCTACTACGATAATTGGGAACTCCAAGGACCAAAGCAATCAACCTTTTCTATGTTACAGTTATTAGACAGTGTTAACATTATTTAAACACCAAACCATACAAAGGGATTATAAAGAGTTTAGTAACATACAGATGTAGGATCTTAATTTGCTCACAATTTTCCTGCACAGCAGGAAATGCAAACTTGTAGTGTACTCAAGTTTTAAAAAGGTTTGTAATTTACACTTTAAAATGTCAGACTTGATTTGCCCTAACGGAAATCTGTCAACCCCTACTAAAAATGTCCCTTAATTATAATCCACATAAATATTTGCATTTCCTGTTGCTGCAGGATTATGTTCCTGCTGCAGCAAACTGGCTCAAATTAAGATCCTACATCTGTAAAGTTACATTAAGGCATCCGCATGCTTCCCATCCGAAAACAGTTCTGAATAGTTTGTGCATACATTATGACGATATTTATTTATTTATTTGGCCTTCGGCAATTTTTTTTTTTTGCTGTTCGTGCACACAACATTTTTTCTCGAGGCAAGTATGAAAATGTATGCACTCACTAACTGTAAGTTGCTCTGGATAAGAGCGTCTGCTAAATGACCCAAAAAATTATAATAATGGCCCCAGCCGAACCGAAGCATGCGGCAGCCTTTAAATTGAAGGAGACAACAACATAGTGTTGACCTGAAATACCAACACAATAGAAGAGAGGAAACTGTAAATCAGTTTAGGAAGAAAATAGAACAATTTGGTACCTCGGCACACAATCTGGGCCATGCTCTGCAGATTTAAAACATTAAAAACCCTCAGAAGATACAGACTATATATCAAATCAGCTGTTCCTCACAAAGAAGAAAGGCCCTTTGATTCCTTATGGGTGAAACACAGCACATCTGCGATGGGAAGCTGACAGCAGAGAGCACAGATTTAGCATCACGCACACACACATGAACACACACACACACACACACACCCTGATACGGACACAAATATAAACACACACAAGCAGACAAAAACATCATACACAATTAGAATTTCCATGAATGGCGTCTTTCGCCTGTTGCCAGATGGGATATAAGGCCTCTTGATTGAATGACACGGTAAACTGAGATTGAATACAAAGTCAGGCGAGACACACACAATTGCCGGTCGTCACTAGTTAACACAGCCACAAAGTCATAATATTGGCTAAACCGAGCCTATTTCTATAATTCCTTTCTTAAAATCAGATTTTAAAAGTAACCCTAACCTTAACCACACTGCTAACCTTAAATTAAGACCAAAAAGCTCATTTTAGTTTTCATGAATTTTGACGATAGGCCATTTTGACTTTGTGGCTGTGGTAACTAGTGACAACCAGACTTCCCCTCCCACACTCTCTGGGAGTAGGTCCAGCCACAGACCTGACTGAGACCAACATGCTACAGATTCCAATGTGCAGTAGGAATTAGGTCTGCACGATATGGGCATAAATCGAATTTCAACATTTAACCAAATATTGTGATTTGACTTGCAATACAGATCAAAACACTTGGGTGAACTGTTGGAATCATTGAAATAGACTGATTAATATTAAGAAGCAAAGTGGAAAGCAGCATTTTTCTTGTTTGGAACAATTTGTTGACTGCATTTAACCTAACAGAACAGCATGCAACCTTATAGTGAATCTAACAGCGGGGAGGAGGAACTGCGTTTTGTGTGTGGGAAGCAGCCCCAATAGGAGAGAGGGAGAGAGATGACAAACAGAGTCAACTTTAAAAACGGACATTACACAAGGCTGAGTGGCGTTTCAAAATATAGTCATATGGCTATCTCTTGCGATATGGAAATTGCACATGTCAATATAGTGATTTTGATGTGAATTCGATTAATTGTGCAGCCCTAGCAGGAATGTAAATACCAGTGGTAAGCTATGCACCTCACACATTCATTCAAACTCCACCATTCACAGCCCAGAAATCCTCTGCATCCGTTTTCCCAAGCCTCATAAAGCTACAGATGAAGGATCTTAATTTGAGCCAGTTTACTACAGCAGGAAAATAATCCTGGAGCAACAGGAAATGTGAATTATTATGTGATTATAATTAATGGACATTTTTGTAGGGGTTGATACATTTTGTCTGAAATTTCAAAGTGGAAATTACAAAATTTAGAAGCCTTTTTAAAACTCAAATACACTACAAGTTTGCTGTGCAGAAAAAAAAAAAAAAAAAAAAAAAGAGTGATCAAATTTAGATCCTACATTTTCAGGTCTCTGACATATCTTTGCACCGGCCCCTGTGCAGGTTTGCTGGTCTATACTTTTCCCAGCATTGCTTATAATAATACATCCCATGTAATGCTGAATATGTTTTTGAGTCATTCTATGTCGTGGCCCACTCTTCTTTCTTCTATGGGAAATTGTCGGTGTAAACACAGGAAGGAATTCCATGTGACTCCTGAGAGTATGTGTGTTATATTATGTGTTTAACTGTCCACAGTCAACATGTGAAAACCCCCACAGACAGCCCCAGACAAGAAAACAAGTAGAGGTTGTGTGTATTTTGGCTGTTGGTGGAGGATTGTCTAGGGATAACCAGTGATTTATACACTCAACCAATGTTTATAAAAAGAGGACATCATCCTGATGCATTCAAAAGATGATCCATTTGTCTTTTAATTGGTGGAGTGTGGGAATGACGAGGTGGAAAGTGACAGACCCTACACTATGACACGGGGGACATCCCTGCTCCATTCCAAAAGTGGTGGGAAAGTCATGTTTCATTCATACGTTGCACTTCGAAACAAACAGGATGGATTTCAGAAATAAATAATAGTTTTACAGAGACTAAACATCCCCTGAGAGGGAGAAGTCTGGCCTATTGAGCTGGGACAATGGTGTAACTGATGAGGAAACCAGGTTCAGACTGACACCATCCTCCAAAGTAGGCCTGGACTGGACAGCCAACCAATGCTGTCAATCAAATGAGGTCATCTTTACATTAAGTCATTTCAAGTCAACATGTAAAATGCTCTCGACAAACACACTATGCTCAACTGTGACACTACAAAGCAAACAGCATTGGAGAGCTAAGTAGTCTAACACCCCCTCTGAGCAGATGTCCCATTGAAATTGAATGGGATCATTCCGAAGAGATATGCATTTGCTCAAAGTCATGCCCGTACACAATAAAATAATCCTAACCTTAGAGATGCAAAGGGCAGGAAACTGTATCTTATGTAGTCAACAGTGAAGTTTAGAACAAAAAAAGTAACAAAAGAGTACATGTTGGTGGACTGTAAAAGTAACAGAACTAGTACATGTTGGTGGACTGTAAAAGTAACAGAACTAGTACATGTTGGTGGACTGTAAAAGTAACAGAACTAGTACATGTTGGTGGACTGTAAAAGTAACAGAACTAGTACATGTTGGTGGACTGTAAAAGTAACAGAACTAGTACATGTTGGTGGACTGTAAAAATAACAGAACTAGTACATGTTGGTGGACTGTAAAAGTAACAGAAGTAGTACATGTTGGTGGACTGTAAAAGTAACAGAACTAGTACATGTTGGTGGACTGTAAAAGTAACAGAACTAGTACATGTTGGTGGACTGTAAAAGTAACAGAACTAGTACATGTTGGTGGACTGTAAAAGTAACAGAACTGGTACATGCTGGTGGACTGTAAAAGTAACAAAACTGGTACATGTTGGTGGACTGTAAAAGTAACAGAACTGGTACATGTTGGTGGACTGTAAAAGTAACAAAACAGGTACATGTTGGTGGACTGTAAAAGTAACAGAACTGGTACATGTTGGTGGACTGTAAAAGTAACAGAACTGGTACATGTTGGTGGACTGTAAAAGTAACAAAATGGGTACATGTTGGTGGACTGTAAAAGTAACAGAACTGGTACATGTTGGTGGACTGTAAAAGTAACAAAACGGGTACATGTTGGTGGACTGTAAAAGTAACAAAACGGGTACAGGTTGGTGGACTGCATAGTCTCCCTCCCATCTGTTTATAATATCATCATGTCTTTGTCAGATTGTTCCTGTCTGTCAGAATGCAGGCTTTGTTAGGACTGCTGTTGCAGCTGGGACACTTGCTGGTGAGGTACCCCCGAGGGCAGACCCCAAGCCCTGCACACACCCATCTATCACTCATACTAGACACACACACACACACATGGATTCACACACACACACACACACACAAGCACACCATATCTGAACATCTTTCTGTCTTTCTGCACACAACCCCCGGAGAAAATCCCATTATCATGGCTGAAGGGCCTACTATAAAACACAATTATCCACAGATGCACACATTCTCTCTCTCTCTCTCTCTCTCAGACACCCACACACTCAGAGCCTCACAAACACACACTTGACAAGGAGAACAACAGGACTTGGCGATTGAAGGAGCAGCTGCTCTCTAAAGTCAGATTACAAATTTTTGTTTTTTAAATACACTCAGGCCAAGAGAGTGGTTCTCTTACAGGGCTGGAGACATTGCCTTACCCCTGACCAACTGACAGACACACACATGTGCACGCACCCACACACACACTCTTGCTCTTTCTCACTCTACTCAAAAGCAGCTTATTTTACCACTGGGTTACAGTATGCAATCAAGTTTAAATCCATGTTAAAACGTTCCATTTCAATAGTTGAAAAGGAAGGTGAGCTGCCTATTGAGTAGCCTAGTCGAGTTTTGCCTCTGAGAGGAAAGTGAGAGAGAGAGAGAGAGAGAGAGCGGGCCAAGACACTGCCAGCCCTCCCTCCCCTCCTAGACTCCCAAGAGTATGAGAGCCCCCATCTCAGAGCACTAGAGGAGCTCCCCCTCCCCCTCCTCTCCCCTCCCCTGTCTGTGTTTGGCCCTAATAAATTCTCTCCAGCTCCTCCAATAACTTCCTCCTACTTCCTCTCTGGCACGGCGCTCAGGAAACAATCAGAGCTGAGAGTGAGAGGAGGGTTGGACGACCGACAGCTCACACGGCAAAAGGCAGAGGGAGAGAAAGTGAAGGGGAGACAGCTAGAGAAGGAGAGGGAGAAAGAGACGGAAAGTGTAGGACAGAGGTAGAACGAGACGGAAAGAGAGAGGGGGAAAGAGAAGGGCAAAGAGGGAGAAAGAGAGAGGGGCTTACATTCAGTCAGTAAGGCAATCACAATCACAAGCAGAAAAATACCATTTGGATACCCACAAAAAAGGCATGTTTGATTTGGAAAAGTCTGAAATCAACTGAAATATTTCCAAGTCTGACAGAAAGGGAAACAAATGTTATAACTTTCCCAATCTGCCATGAGACATCAAAAAACGTCTTCCTTCTAGTATAAAACATTAACCCAGGGCCTGAATGGCGGGTGATTGACTAATCCATGTCCTCCTACAACACAGACCCTACAGACTAGGGTCTACCTCAGCATCTCACAGCTCCATGGAGTAAAGCTTTAATCCAGCCGACCAACAGAGGAAAGACTGACACAAAGCGGAGAGAGCGCCAGACTGCTTATTTTACAACCTGATTCAGCAGTTTAATCAGAAATTTTCCAGGGAGCATTGCAGAGCAGTCATCCTCTCCTCCTCGCCTGAGTTGGTCATTCTGTGGTGAGGCCAGCGGTTTGGTGCCTTAATCTGTGAAACCTTTAAGACATGGGTAATTTATGCACAAGTGTGCAAGCTTATACAGTTACTCATCTACCCATATAGCCCAGCGATAAAGGATAATCTATATGTGGTACTTGTTGCATGGCAAGAAAAATAAGGAGGTCAGGAAAGTTTTTTTTTTTTTTTTATGAAGGAACAAACTTTCAAACCCATACCCAGAGGTGATCATCCTTTCAAAATGACTTCACAGCCATTGTGTAGCCTACAACTCATTTAACAGACAAAATATAAGAAGCCCTGTTGATCCTTTACACAACACTTTTAGATGTGTATGACGCTTAGTAAGGTCTAAATTCTTCAGTAAGTGTGTGGTTTGGTTTTGGAGAGGTCGTCCTCCAACTCCCCACTCTAAAGGCAGTGATTAAGAGCAAGGCCCCTTTAAGTCATTGGAGCCCCACTCCAACACAATGCCCACTACATCAGTCATAGGACAGGATCCCAGATAGCCAGGCCCGGTTTGTTGCCCCCATCATTTATAATGGACACCACCTAGAGATATAAACTAACAAACAGACATCCTGTTTACTGCTGCATAAAGCATGAGCCCACAGAGTTCTGTTGTCATTCTCTCGACACAATAAAGAGTTGGTTTGTGAAGTTCATCACTATCAACAGTTGGTTGCAACAAGAGCAACTGAAAAGTTAGCAATTTGGGAAAAAATGGACACAAAGACTATACTGTTCTAGGCCACTCCCAAGTTCCTCCCTTGAGCAGTCAGGGAGGCCAGAAGTCGTATCTGTTAGTTAGGACCTTGCTGCATTTGGAGAACATGTTAACAAGCCCATGCACTCAATGCATTAACGTTAATCAAATGTTGATTAATGGTATTTTAATCAGGCTACTAAGACATGGTAATTGCTGAGGGGTGCATTGACTCTGATCCTGGAAATAAGGATAGCATCATATATGCTTACGACAAATCTAACAATGCCTTATAACCGCATTAAAGTGCATTGTACCTGGCTATAAATGAAATATTCCCAAGTGAATATTCTTAATGATACAACTAATATGCGTTCTTGAGGTTTCAGTTAAATATTACACTCTTATATGTTGTGAAGGCCAGATCTCTCTGAGGCTCTCTCTGTGTGTCTGCAACAGTCACAAGCGGTATTTGTTCAGACCTCTGTTGACAGAAGGGTATGTGGCCAACATTTGGAAGACCACTTCTGGGGATGGTGCTAAAAGGCAACCAACGTCTGCACAAATGGGCAGAGCTCATTAGCCATTCGTCTGAGGGTTTAGCACAAACCAGTGAAGTTGCTCTCATATAGCCAGTAAAGCTAGAGCTAGAAACAACCCAGCATCTCTAGAACCAACAACTACCTACTGTATTTAAAAGAAGGTAAATGTAATGTATGTTTGAAAATAGTAAATAGATGTAAACATTTAAAATTATATGCTGTCTGAGATAAATTAACCCAGTCAGATAAATGACACATTTTAACAGTAGGCCTACTTATAGGTTGATTTTTTAAATCCTTAAAAATATTATAGGCTTGTCACTCTGATGTTTATATTGCAGTACAGCAAATAGGCCATTTTATTCACGACCATGAAAACCACAGTGGTGGCAACATAAAAAAGATTTCCCTGATTACATTGTTAAAGAGAGGGACACATTTATTATCCATGCCATGCCAATGCAGAATGCATGAAGATCTGAGTGAATGCCTGGATAGTATCTGTGTTATAATTGAATATAAAATAGCCGCGCCATCCCCCTTCAGACAGTTTCTAAAACGTTCCTAATTTGCACTTTCAGCTTCATCATAGGAGGTGTTGTAAGTTCACATCTGCACAACCCTGTCTTAAAACCCTTTCTGTCCTGATATAAAAGCCTCTGCCCAGTGCCCGTGCACTAAGCTAGGCTGGAACAGGTTAATTAAATTATTGTTTGTACCGATGGCCTGGGGAACTACAGCTAGGGAGACCAGAAGAGAAACTACCCACTTTAAGAGGATATTGTTCAAATAATCGAGTTGACCACAAGCATTAGAGCTGGCAGGCAGCTATGGCTTTTGCGTTACAAGTAAAGCTGTGAGATGTAAACAAAATATACTTAGCCCACAGAGTATGAGTTGCAGTTTGTTTGAGAAAGAGCTGATTGTGTTGGGACTGAGAGCAGAGCAAAGCATAGCGCTAGTCTGCAACATGCATGTTGCATAAACACACTGAGGACGGAGGGAGAATCTGTCAGAGCAGCAGAATATTGATCCTTCCCAGATTTACCCTCTCCTCATTACTACATCACAATTTAATATTAGACACCTTCATTCACAAAGGATACTTTCACTGCTTTATTTTCTTTTCACATGCACACAATTTCCACATGTTCAGAGAGAAAGTAAATTGGTCCAGCTTTATAGATATTAAAGGGTATTAAAGCTGGAATCCTTAATGGTGAAACTGCCATGTCCATTTGCGATATTACAACAACAAAAACGTTACTGCATACAACGAACACTGTTTTTTCCCCTCTGACATATGTACCTTGATGCACGACGCTCCCCACATCTGCTTCGTCAACAAAACAAAAACAACGGCCGTGGGGCGGACAGTGGCGCTGTTTCCCCTACTGACAATTACATATTTTTAAGCTGGAATCCTTAAAGGTGAAACAGCCATGCCCCCTTGCGATATTAGAACAACAAAAAAGTTACTGCAAACAACAAACACAGTTATTTCCTCTCGGACATCTCTGCACACAAAAATGACCATGCTGCACGATGCTCCTCAGCTCGGCAACAAAAACAATGACAATGGTGGTGGGGCGGCCAGTGGTGCTGTTTCCCCTTACTGTTTCCCCCTACTGCGGATTCAATATTTAAGTGTGATTCATCTTTAATCTTAACTTTCCTCAGTCACCCAAGTGTTTATGTTGGAATGTACTATACTTCCAACACAGGAAATCAACAATGTGTAACTTCAAAGTATGGTCTGATGGGTTCTGTTTTATAACAGACCACCCAAACAGAATAAAATAGGTAGAGACAGGACTCTATTCCCCTGGTTTAATTCCACAACATAGTTGTAAAACTAAAGGCATGTTTTGGCAGTAACATGGAGAAATGATTAATAACAACTTTTTAATTCATAAACTGTTTAACTTATTGTGCATATAGCTCCTTAAACTTCAGTCAATCCTGAAAAAATCTCCAATACTTTCTAAGCTACAGTAGGCCTGAGTGCTTATTTGTTTGGTTGCACTAATATGATACAAAGCAGGCTGCACTATGAGGCATCACTTCTTATATTTGTAAGTACTACCTATATTTGGGTATAAACAATTCCAACAATGTCAACTCAACTACATGTTGAGCCTATGTCCCTCAGTCAGCACTGTTTCCCTATACTGAAACTCATATTGCCACAATATAGATATCACATATTACCCTTATTATATTTATAGCGTACTAATTTTAATTGGCAAGACTTGTATCACATTATCAACCAAACACCATATGTTAGCTTCAATCGTTACTGAAGACTGTATAGACAAACATTGGTCTAGCTCTTCCAGAGGCAGAGAATGTGCAGCTGCAACTAGGAGTGCCTCCAGTGCTTCAACAACATAGCAAAACTACTGAGTCCATCTGAAAGATTTACAGTTGGGCCTGATTTACAGTTGGGCAGATGACCTGGGGCTAGTGTTTGTATGGATCCATTATGTCAATTATGTTCATATGTCAATTATAAACAAACCCAAAATTGTGATTTGGTGTGATTGCTTCATATGGTTTGACAAAATGGTGACTGACTATCTTTCCAGTGGAGTAAATATTTTCTAATTATCTGTTCTGATTTCAGAGTCATTTCTTGAGGGGAAAAAACATGAATGCTAGTTTACCATTTGAATGTAACCCTAAATGCCTATAATCTCAACCCTAAACAGGCTTTTCTGGCTGGTCTACTAACTGTACGTAGTGATGAACCTGAAAGACAACATTCTATTGTTCTACCTGTTGAATGGCACTGACTGGACTGTAACATTGTTGTGTACATGTGTTTACAGGGTGGTTGAGAGAGAAGAAAAATTATAAACCTTGCAAAGCATCCCACTTTTTTTGTATTTCTAATAAGGAAAGCATTTGGAGCAAGAAAGGTCTGTTTACCCAAGCATAACCAATAGCACACCATGAACAGGTGTTGCTTGAAGATATATAATTATATGCACACAGATCCATCCATTTTAAATGCTAATATAAGGATTAAATATTGAAGTAAGGATATCCAGTGAAACAGCACTGGCCCCTGTGGAGAAGATCAAGAAAGATCCACAACTCAAAGAAAGTACAAAACCTTTACTTAAAGATAATTTACCCATATAAAAGAAAGGATGAAAGAAACTGTTGGAAGGAATCA